TCATCATTATCATCACCATCTTCTTCTTCTTCTTCTTCTCTTCCTCATCCTCCTTTCTTCCTTCTTTTCCTTCAGTTTAGGATCTATTCTCTTTTAGTCCTTATTTATGACTGGACGCGGATATAGAATTCATTGAAAAAAACTATATCAAGCATGATATTGATGTCGAAGAATCGAAAACAAGTGTTGTGATAAAACTTTGGACTGTCAACAACCTAGTATAAGTTCAAGATGTACTATCATACTCAGGGGAATAAACTCGTGGATCAGAGGAAAGGTTCAAAAGAGAAAGACTTTGAACGTCAACCTATCACTCAGGTTTTATTATAGCTCCTTCGCTCGAAATCAGTGTTACGAAACGCTGCTTGGTACAGACGACGTTAGTATTATCGTGGCACCATCTGATCTCTATTTATAAACAAGCAATATTACATGCCATTTCATAAGAGTTCTTCAAGATGAATGTTACAAGCAGCATGTCTCTAACAGGATTTCCAGGTTAGATGGCCCTGTAACCCTCCTTTAGTAAAAAGCATTGAAAGTATTCTTCATGAGCTCTCATGAATGATACGAAAGCACCATTTTTCACGACACGAAACTTTTAAATCCATTATTGGGACCAAGGGCCTTACTTTGTTGACCTCTATAGTCAATTGGGTCTAACTTTTGTGAGTTTTCTTACCGGGCCATTAGAAGTTTACTGAAGTTAATCAACATATGCATAACTCGCAGGCGAAGTCCATGAGCGAAAACCTAGGCTTATAGAGTCATGGTTCTGACATTGGATTTTCCTGGCGCGTTCAAGTTGATTTGTCAAACGTAAGTGTTCCGTGAGGAATTGAATTCTTAAGTAGTACGTCCAGGCTAAAAAGAGGCAAAGAAATTCGAAGTCATGTGAAATTTCGTCCTTTATAAACGTCACTGTAGAAAGTTTAATCCCGGCCGTCGCAATCGTGGAGCAATTTCAAAGAAATCTACCAAAAAGTGTGATTCACGTGCAGAGTTGTTGTTTTCTTCCACCTTTTTGCTTTTCCCTTCGCCCTCACAGTCGTCATTACTTTTCACGGCTCCCTACTAATTTACTGACTCCGCCATGCAAACTTTCATAGTAACGAGCTTTAATCTTTGGATAACACGTGCCTAAACTACGGACATAATCAGCATAGCATGTGATGTGAATTTGTTCACATCAGAAATCTGCAGCTATTATCGTTATTTGGTGCAAAAATCCAAAAGGAATTATTTACATCCTTCGTTATTTTTTCGTCAGCACTATAAGTTAGTTTCAAGATCAAATCTAGGGGTCGTATAAAGTTATGTGAACTTTAATTTTTGATCCTCAGTACAACTCATGACAAATACCTGCAGAAATGACATCTGTTCTCTGCAGACTCTGCAGTCATGAAACCAAATAATATTCTTTAAAAAAGGCTGGATTTCATATTTATCAGTATTAGACGGTGTCATGATTATGACTGAAAATATCAATACCGTCCATACTGAGTAACGTACTCTAGCTTTATCTGAACTCTCCTGGCCACCGACCCTAAGGTGCCTTTAGGAAACGATCAACAGAGCAGGAAACCCATCCTCGAGCACTATCGTATATCAGATCGTAATACTGAATACCAGCTTGTCCTTCTACCAAGCAGGAGTAAAATCCTAGCTAGTTGCCCTTGGTCAGTTGTATGCTTGTATTGTCTTATACTTGTTAAAGGACGACTTGCAGCATGGGCCTCTTCTCATCTGGCGAGTGAGTACCTGTCTGAGGGTCTGAGTGGGGTGAAAGTCCCGTCTGGTTGGGGAAAAGTGGTTTTCCTTCCGAGTCCGAGGACGGGACTTCCTTGGGACTTCCTAATGATGCCACCAGGAAAGGAGAAAAGAAAGCATGGGGTGGGGGCGGGGAGGCCGGGAAAAGGCGTGCTGTAGGAGACTGGGGGAGAAACGTATCAGTGCTGGTGGGACCCTCTGCTTCCCTCAGCTTAGAAGAGGCTCTTTTACGTTTTCGGCTAAAATTTTGGTTCTTTTACGGCTATCGGTGAATTTTTTCCGGTTGCGGTTAACAAAAAAGTTAAAAATTAATTTTTTTGTTTCACAGAGTTAAATATTAATAAACCTGGGCTGAGTTGCTGAAAGCATGGTTAGCTTTAACCATTGGTTAAGCAGTATCAAAACCTGGTTAACGCTAACCATGCTTCGAGCAACTGGGCCCTGTATTTTTTTCCACCTTTAAAGTAAAATAAAGGTCTTGGGAACATCTCGGGATGAAATAAGTTATTCCTTTGATAAATTTTAATATTTGATAGATTATGTCGATCCTCCATGTGCGACCACCTCCGATAAGGACCGCCTATCCAAAACACCAAAACTTTCTTAGTCAAAGCCTTACAGTTAAAACCTTTAGAAAATGACCATCACCTCTTGTAAGCGACCGCGAACACTCTTTGGGCCTTCACGTTTAATGATTTTCCATTGTTTTTAACCTCTTGTAAGCGGCCACTTGACGCATGCTTTGATCCCTACGTTCGCTGTGTACTATGCTACTTAGAATATACGAAGAACGGGTAACACTGAAAATGGAACTACACAGGGCGTAATTATAAGCTAAAAATCGCATGCAATAAATTATCTTCCATAACTGAGTAAATGTGCCCGGATCTCTTCTCTGAGAGGCCTCTTGTGGTTCGATTCTTGTACGTAAGCCAACCTTGGCGTTATTTCCTTCTCTTTGAATTGGTGCTACTAATTTGATGTTCGCCTATCTTGTTTACCTTGCACCTTCTTCTTTTTATACTACCACGTTAGGATCTTTACGTACCCCACTGAGGAACAGACTGTACAACATGAACTGAAAAAGGACAAGCAAATAGACTCGAACATTTCTGTGACTCTCACAAATACTAGTATCGGAGCCAAGCTGAGAAGTGCGGCTTTGAAGATCTTTGAATATGAGAGTTTTTCCATTCTCTTAAAATGATACGCCCTCTTTGTTTAAACTAAATGAAAAAAAAAAAAGGTTAAGCTATTGCCAGTGAACTAACATCTTTTTTGTGAGGGATGAAAAGACTCACTGATAACAGAAATTACAGTTAATTTACAAAGAATCCTCGTGAAAAAGCAAAGGCAGACACGCGAACGTACGGAGTCAAGGTAACCGCGAAATAAGAAACGCAACGGGTCGTAAGTGAGCTTAGCACGTAGCCTGCGAATACAGTCTTTTCTCCCGGGCTAGTTTATAGCAACCAATGTTTTTTACGGTTAACTCTTTTTACCACCCAATCAGGGCACCAATCCCGTTCCCAGGGTTCTCTCCTTCCCGTCCCGAGAGAGGGTAGGAGAGAGAACCTGGGAACGAGCTTGCTTTGGCAATTCCCTAGCCTCCCACTCGGACTAACACTTGGACGTTCTTAGGGGTTCGTCATGCGTTCCTGCCCCCGAACGTGGGGCAGGAACGCATGACGTACCTCTAGAACGTCTGCGTGGGAGGCTAGCACTTCCCTTACCACTTCCTCTTCTTTGTAACTTTATCCTTGGCCGGAAGCATATCTACTCTTTCAGGAACCAGTAATCGGCTTATGACTCTTACAAATAATGGCTGTGAAACGGATCTATTTGAGGGCTGGTGATCCGCGAGTTTTAATTTATCGAAACCAAAATATTGCTTGTTTTGTTTATTTTTGTTTATTTTCTAATGTCTTGGATATACTGATCAACAACTGACTGATGAAAGATTGAAGATTTGTAAACATTCAGGAACTGGTTAATATCTTTCTGACTTGTGAATTGCTTTGTTGACAACGCAACGTGAAAGAAACCATCGAAGTAAAAAACAAACAAACAATAGTACAAGATAAAAAAATCTTCGACATGGGTTACAAAAAAATCGATACAGATACAAAACGTATATTATTTACACCCTATTCCAAGTTTTATCAGGAGATGGGCCTGATCCTCACTTATTAGTAGATCCTTCCAGGATTTTTTTTTTCAATTTTTCAGTTGGGACCAGTTTGCAAAAATCTGTCAACACGCCTTAAATCAGTAAAGTTGCCAAGTTTAAAAGTGATTTGTTGAAAACAGCAAGTCGCAAATTTGTATCGGTGGGACAAGATCTAATCCCCTCAGACGCCATACAAACCTTTTCAAAATTTTTCGACTTTGTGCTTGCTTTGGACGTATCAACTTTAAACTTAGTCTAGTTATTTAAATGTGCTCTTTCTGGCAGCGTCGATCGAGTTTCGCTTACCGTACTGGTCTTTACAAATCTAGGCTCGATTTCCGCCGTCCAGCGGCTGGTAATCGAGCCTATTACAAATCTTGAAATTCATTTTCCGTGTTCGATCGCCCGCAGAGTTATGGACTGCCACGTTATGGCGCCATTGACCAGACAGCACCAGGACAGCAAAGGTTGCCCAAAGTCGAAAAACAAACGTCGGCATTACTGCTGTCGCGTAACCTTCGGAAGTATAAGGATATTTATTATATAAACACCAATGAATGAAATACCAGGTGAACTTTCGCTCGAAAACTTGATATCTTCACATGTGAAAATATCACCTTTGCTATGGCTACATAATAAATCGCGCCTTTCACACCAAAAAACTATCAAAGTGAAATGGTTTGGTATTTCATTAGTGTTTATATAATAAATAAAACATTACATGGCCGCTTGGAGATACGAAATTTCTCTTCCCGTGTTGAAAAAATATTTCACTCGTTCGCTGCGCTCACTCGTAAGAAGAGAAATTTCGTATCTCCAAGCGACCATGTAATATCCTCTATTTATGGAGAAAAATTTTTTTTTTCTGAAACGTACAAATATGAAAGAGATTTAAAGACAAAACAGCGCACCTCACTTTAACTTGAGTTGAGTGTTTCTCCTTTCCCGTGGGGTCTCCGGGCCGGAAATCCACAGGAAGAAGAAGAAACACATATGTGGAGAATGAAAAACACACAACTTTAAGTGAGATAAGCTTTTTTAAATTAATTTTCTTATATTTGTAGGTTTCAGAAACAACAGTTTTTTCCCTAACCTGAATTTCATCCGAATTTCAGGCTATTTTTTCCCGTAGAAATCCTTATAATTTGAAGGTTACGCAACAGTGTCGCGTGGACGCTCATGCATGCATAACCTGTGGTGACAACAGGAATATCAGTTTTCGATTGGCTCATTTCTCCACGCCCCCAAAACGCCCCCAGCGAAGAGTTGTCTGGCGATATTTTTCCTTGTTTTTGAAGTACATACCGCGTTTCTTCTTTCCTGTTCTTTGTGTTCCTCGCTAAAAAGAATTTGTACAATTCCACTGAGACACTTTCTCGTTAATGCTTGTGTAAACTTCGTTTTACTTGAAGCTGTCGTTGATCAAAGTAGATCTTCTCGTTACCAAATCACGCTTTGTTGGCAGCTAGTAAATATCTGCGTGCGTAAAGAAATAGTACACAAGGGATTTCAGCGTGCGAGTATATGTTATTTCAACCGGCTTGTGTGTGTGTGAGAAATTCATCATAACTATTGGTTTGTAGCTGCTTCGTTAAAACCGATGGCGGACGCAAGTACTGTTAAAAGTGGCCATTTGGAGGAAAACAATCCACTATCGAAACCGAGTGATGTCGAACTCATTCTTGAAACTGGCTCAACGAAAGCCAAAGATGTTCAAATCGTTAACGGCTCTGTACTTTACACAGGTGAGGAAGTAGCTTCCAATGGGGAGGTTTACTCTGGTACCGAGAAAGAAACACATAAACAAGCGAACGGCCTCGAAGAACACAGAACCGGACATCATAATGGCGGCGCCAGCCCGAAAAGTGAACTTGGAGGTGTAAAGCTGGCTCCCGCCGAGTCGACGTGGACAATCCAAGCCGATGGCGCTGTTAATCTGCGAATGGGATCGTCAGAAGCTACAAGTCGAGTTCCCATGACAGTGGTAGAAGGTTTACAGAGAGCTGTACGTTTAGCACCGAACAGAGTTGCTCTTGCAGTAAAACGAAATGGAGAGTGGATGAAGTGGTCTTACCAAGAATACTACAAGTCAGTGTGTACAGCAGCCAAGGCACTCATTAAGGTTTGCGATATTAAGCTTACGTCCAGTGCTTTTCGATGTATTAATATCAAAATCTCTTAAGGTTGGACGCTTTGGTGTTTTGCAGTTGCTCTCGGTGCAACGTTTCAAATCGAGAATGTAAAAATTCGGCTTTAATAGTTTCAGCTAGTTTTGTTGTTGTGAGTTTCAGCGTCGTTAAAACTCCTAGTAAATTTGATATTGATTTCCAAAAGCACTGAAAGATTCATAAGTTTTACAAATTGATGTGATACAAGTAAATTCACAGGTTTAGAAAACTTTGTCGGTATGAAGGTGACCCAAACAATGTACACATGAACATTCAAGAATGAACAAGATAATTTAGCGTGGGTGCCGGGTAGATTTTAAAAGCCCCGGTATTTTGTTGTAATTAATTTTCTATGGCGTGCAAACATGAAATTTGAATTCTTATTGACTTTTCCTTCCCTGAACCAACTCATTCTGACCCTACTTTTCTTTTAACACTTGAAACTTTTATCACATGACTATTTATTGTGAGTAATTCAATTATATTGCCGAGTTGAGTTTCATCCAAGAGTGCGTGAAGATGTAAACAAACTCGAGAACCGGTTTGATTGGAGACCTTTTACAACATTAAAGATTGAAAAGAGTTGTTTCAAGTTATTTTTCCTAGAGAAGTTTCTTAAAAGAGTAGTGGGCATAAACACGCCTGCAGAAACAAGTTTATAAACTTAATCCTAAATCTTGATTTAACATGCATGACGTTTGTTTTTGTAGTCTTATTAATTCCTAAGGGTTTTTTCAAACAATGCACTTGCATGTAATTGTAGTTTTTGCAAAGAGTACAAGTGACAGATCAAATTGAAGACTTATCAGCATTGTAAACAACTGCAAAAGTTCAGTTGCTTGGACAGAACTTGCTGACTCAGAGCGGTTTAAGTTACTGAAATCTTGAATTAACCTCTTCTGAACCCTCACTTTAATGACATGTTAGGTATGGTTAATTACTACTGGTAAGTTCAGTACGTGTTAAGACGTGTAAGAGCTCAGAAGACTGCTTATAATACTTGACAGAAGCTAAGATTCCTTTCACTAATTATCAAAATGTTCATGTTTCATGCACTGAGTATATCTATAGTAACTGATAAAATGTGCTGTATAGCAGTGGATAGCAGTAGTTTGGCAGACTTGATCGCATGAAGTGGCAATTAAGTTGTGGCAGTTAATTAAAAGATTTGAAAAAGACGGATTACTACACTATCACCAGGATAACTTTAAGCCTCGTCGGGTGGTTTCTATATGATTGCTGCAATTGCTGAAAATCCTCCAGGGATCTGAATGATATGCTTGTGGCACTTATTATTTGGGAATGTTATGAAACCTTGAATTTATACTGTAGACATATGAAAATTTATCTCAGAGTTGTCTCCATGTAGAATTAGCTGTGAACGTTATTTCTATGTTCACAACAGTATCATTATACTATTACTTATATTTCTCATGAATTTAAGGCAGGATTTGCATATCCTTTTCTCTTTTGAATATTATTTGCACTGTATTTATATCTTTTCTTTTTACTAACAGCTTGGTCTTGAGCCCTATCACGGTGTTGGAATCATAGGATTCAATTCTCCTGAATGGCTTATCAGTGATTTAGGAACCATTTTTGCAGGGTAAGGAAACCTCTATATAGCTAATTAAAAGTGAGGCTCAAATCTGAGTCCTGTAGAATGCTGGTTGTAAGCCCCCCTACCCCCCCCCTAGCTAATTAGAGGCCCATCTACCCCCACTGTAACCAAAATGATATGCTTGTGGCACTTATTTGGGAAAAAAATACATCAGATTAAAGCCCCCTTCCCCCCAGACCCCAGATACAGCTGCATAAGCCCACCTCCATATGTATTGAAATATAATTATTTGAATAATCATTCGATGCAAATTTTTCTTCTTTTTGTTGGTGGAGAGTCCACCACATGTCCACTTGCAAATATCACCTGTCTACAAATGATGGTTTGCTCACGTACAATGTTGTCCAACTGTGTTTGGCTGCAAATAGTAATGAGCTCATGTGTAAATGAAACTGCTCTTTTCCCCTTTTTGCAATCACTTTTGCATAAAAGTGACAAAATGACAGATATTCATTAACAAACATACTACGTGGCCAAATGATTTAAGAAAAAGTGCCTTGAAACAAGCTATAGTGGTGCTGATCAAGATACGTTTTGCATTTACTGGTTTTTAAAGATCATCATAAAAACCCAAACATCATAATAATTAGCAATTTTTGTAAGCCCTCCTAAAGCCCCTTTCAAAGATTTATAATCCCAGGGCTTAGAAGGTGCAGTTCATGGTATACAAACAACTTTTAGTGACACTGGTTGCCAGTAGTAGTAGCCAGCCAAAGGGATATTTTATTCAAAAAAGGCCATCCATAAAGAAATGCCAAGCAGATCAGTAACACCCTGATACTAACAAAGTAGGTGGCGATTTTCACCAGCAGCCGGCTACTTTTGGCAACCCTGGTGACAGCATCAAACTACACCTATCATAGCTTAGAAATTGCACACAATAAATTCTCTTCCAGAGAGTTAAGACCTGTCCCCTTTTGGTTTGATTGTGTAGATTCTTGATTTAAGCAAACGCCTGCCTTTAGTGACCACTAAATCTTTGCATTTTGGGTAGTTGCTCACAAATGGTTCAATAATATTGCATTTTGACTGTATTTTCCTGTGCTTGATTTATTTTAACTTGCAATTATTTCAGAGGCCTTGCTGTCGGCATTTACACCACAAATTCTCCAGAGGCCTGTCACTTTGTTGCGGAAAACTGTGAAGCCAATGTTATCATTGTTGAGAATAAGAACCAACTGCAGAAAATTCTGAAGGTGAGTAAATTGGTCTGAATTTTCTGGTGCTCAGTTAAAAGTAAGTTCATTTATTTTGTTGTTGTAATTCTTAGCCACTGCGTTGTGGTGGGTACAGTAGTGACTGTAGTCTGTAAACTGCATTTAGTTCTGCCGCATGCTTTGCCTGGTGGACTACTGGTCTGCTGAGGTGGAACATATAGCTATGTTAGCTCCCGCCAGACCACCAACCATGGTTGGCTTTCGGATGAAAACCTTGACTCATTTCAGATGATCGCATAATTTGGATGATGACATTAGGCTGCTGTTTGGCCCTGTTCCTTCATCCTAACATCCATTAAAAGGATCAGACTTTTGAGTGACTATTTGAAAGGATTTATGGGATTGATGTTGTGAGACCCCAGTGTTGTAATTTACCTTCTTGTGGGTTGCTTATGGAAGAAACTGTTTCAGGACCCTCAGTTAAGTAAGCTGTGTATTGTGAGTCCCCACTGCTGTATCTTATAGCAAAGCTAATAAAATAATAAAATTCATTTTTTAAATGAAGCGAATAATGATATTCTTAATAATTTACTAACAGGTTTGGGACCGACTGCCACATCTGAAAGCTGTTGTGCAATACCTTGGAGATATTGAAGGAGAAAAACCACCTAATGTATACACAGTGAGTATGAGCGTGTAGATTAATATTAGCCTGACTAGTTTTCCTCTTCTTGACATGGTTTGTTTCTATTTTGGCTTTGCTTTTTTACAAGGTTTCGACCTCACCCATTTAGTCTAAAATGTTCGTGAATATTGCTGAATACCAAGAGCAACAACAAAACGTTGCTTAATCTTGATTGCCTCCACTGACCTTGATACACATGATACAGACTGAGCATATGTTGACCTAGGCTTTTTCTCATCATTCCTGACATCTTGTGTAACAAGTAGTACTACAGAGTCTGCAATGCAGTCATTCTTAACATTTCTTCACATTGGAATTGACCATTCATGGCTTACATTTTCTTTGTCTTAATTTTGAGACATGGTTACTTTGTTTTCAAAATCTAATCAGATTTAGTTTGAATGATCTTCTCAACTTTCTTATTCTCTTCTGAAGTGCTTGTCAATTTTTTTTTCAGTGGAATGAGTTTATGGAACTCGGCAAAGATGTTGCTGAAGAAACTCTTCAAGCAAGAATTGCCAATTTAGCACCAAACAAGTGTTGTACACTTATTTACACTGTAAGTTCATATACGATAAATTTTTGTTTGGTCAGAGATAGAACTGTGGAGATTTTTCAGTGGGCAAGTGATTTTTAACAGCTGAGTTAAGGTCAGTTTACCCAATGTAAAGTGATTTTAAAAGCTTTCATTTTGAAGTTTTAAAAGCACTTTTTCAGAGTGATTCATGCAGGGATTGTAGATTGTCAGTGAGTGGTTTGTATGTTAATGTTCGTTGAAGGGATGCTATGGAGAAACAACATTTTATACAGCTTGCTATGCATTTTTAATTTGGAGTTTTAAACATTCTTTCAAGTGCTAATCCTCTTTTGTTCTTTTTCGCTAGTCTGGAACCACTGGCAATCCCAAAGGTGTAATGCTTTCACATGACAATGTGAGTAACTTAACCTTTCCTCCCACTTTGACGTAAGTTTTTTTTGTCCTATAGGTACAATGTTTTTGGCTCGTTCAGCGACTTTCTTGTAGGTTCAGCTCTAGAGTCTAGCGTGGTATGTTGGGTGGGGGGTTACTCCCATTTATAGGCTAGATAGGTATGTGCCTCTTGAAAGACTATGGTTTTTTAAGGGTCTTGCCCCTTATAATATGGGGTATCATTTTTGCCCTTGCTGGTGTTGTGGCCCCAGTGTGATTCTTAGATAGCATACCTAATTATTATTGCATAAAATTCAACATAAATACCCAGCTACACAAAAAGTTATGTTGCCATTTAAATTCTTAGATTTTGTTTTTCCCTTGAATGGGGTATCATTTTTCAAAATTGGAGTTTAAATAGGGTATCAATCATCCTTAAATTAATGGGGCCAGGGTTAATTAGACCCTCGGCGGCACACACCTAATTGAGAATTATGAAAGTTCCCCCTCCCACCCTGGGAGTGTTGCAACATTAGAACTGAACTATAGGTGTAATTAATTCACTGCATTTTATAACTTTGCATATCAGGTAATTTGGACTGCAGACTGTGCATTGAAGCATGTTCATGCTGGCGAGAAAGGTCCAGAACATGTGGTCAGTTATCTACCTCTGAGCCATATTGCTGCACAGGTAAATAAAAAAAAATGCAACAATGGGTTATTCCAGAAAAAATCCACACCCCCCCGACGGATGGGGTCCTTTTTTAACCCCCCCTCTCACCTGGATTTCCTGAAGCACAAGACCCCCCCTCCCAACTGGATTTCCAAGGTGGAAGACCCCCCCCCGCCTGGATTTCCGGAAAAAATAAAAGGCTTAAGTTTAATTTATTTTTAATGGAAAATCCGTGAAATGTTTTTGTTTTAATTTCTAAAGTTCAGCTTATATTAAACTAAGAATTCTATTGCTCTTGAAACTAAAAAATGAAAGGAGCAAAAACAAAAATGCGAACGACACCTGAACGAGTGTTTACATAATTTCTTAGCTTATAAAAATCACTCTTATCTGTTGTAGGTACAGATTAGTAGAAATGTGTCAGGCGTTTGACGCTTCGTTTCAACAACGTTAACCTTCAGGCCCGTTTTTAGCTTGTTCACTGAGATAAAAGGATGGTGACAACTTAGATTAATTTATGTCAGGTGAGAAAATATGAACAAAACATTTTGATTTTTCAGGGTCTTAAAACTTTGTGTCATATCAAACGTTTGATTTGTATCAACTATTGGTCATTGAAGCCCCTCAGAAGACTTTTTTAAGGTCAACCCCCTTCCGCCTGGTCAGTTATCTACCCCTGAGCCATAATCCCATCCGCACAGGTGTGGATTTTTTTTCTGGAACAACCCAATACATGTCAAATAAAAGAATTTTATAAATTGTAACAGGGGCACCTGGAATACATTTAAGCCTTATGTGACATCTGGTAAACTACTAGCCTACTGCCGGATTTTTGTTCTAACTTGCCACAAGTGTGTATATAGGCTTGTGAATCAATGGGAGGACATCTAGAGGCCTACACGTGTACCTGGCCCTTCCCAGCTAACCTGCGCTGTGCTCTAGTGGTGCCCCCTGGCCCCAGGTGTATTACTTTTGCCTTTAGGTGACAAAAATATTTTAGTTAAAATTTGTTTTGGCATGGAGAACATAACATTTTTTTTTCATTATTTTTTATTTTGTGCTCTCTTTTCCAGATATTGGACATTTATATGCCAATCAATCTTGCTGGTTCTGTCTATTTTGCACAGCCAGATGCACTAAAGGTACAAGGAATTTGTATTTACTCGTCTTTCCACAGTCAAAAGTAGTCACAGTTGAAGCACCACTGCTAAGAAATGATTTCTCAAGTTATATTATTACAAAATAACATTATTTCTTTAACATTTTTGTCACAGGGCACACTTGTTCAAACCCTGAGGGAAGTCAGGCCAACATTGTTGTTTGGAGTACCAAGGTATTATAATAGCACAAGTTTGCCTTTTTTTGTTGTAAGCTTTTTGAAGCATTTTTAACAAATAGCCTTTTAGCTGTGATGTTTAAGCTTCAGAAATTACAGTTGAAATAGAAAATATTGTATTTATTATGCTGCACAAGGCAGATCTAAAAACCAGCTTGACTAATAGCATAGCAGCAAATTGTGACCACAGAAGTCGCGGTCAGTGCTTTGTGTACGCTTTTGCGTTCTCATGTGACATTGTGTATCCTGAGAAAGTCCATCAGAAGCACTACCCAGATCTGGGTAGTGACAGATTATCAGTATGGAATTTCTGCAGCCATTCCTGAGAGGTCATTTCTATACGATGGTGTTGCAAAATGTCTGCTGTTTTTTCAGGCTAGACATTGTCTGTCTTTGCTAATGCTGAATCTGCCGTGAATGCCCGAATAATGTGACAAGATAGACAACGTATCAATTGGGGTCATCCTCGGTGTAAAAACCTGCAAAATTCTGCTTTGTTTTCTAGCTATTATTATCCTTGACTCTATTGTGTTGACTTCTCAGTGGCTTCTTTGTGTTAATTATTTTACGTCACTCGTGAGTTTCATGGGTTTATACACCGAGTATGAGCCATCAATTGTCAATCCCTGTATGATCTCTAGCCCTCATTTAATGGAAACCAATCTAATACATTATTCCTCTTGAAATGATGCATTTGTCAACAGAGTGTACGAAAAGATCATGGAAAAGTTAAAGGAACTGGGTCAGCAAGTGACTGGAGTGAAGAGAAAGATTGGTAACTGGGCAAAGGGTGTGGCCCTACAGGGGAACATGAACCTTGAACAAGGGTAAGCTGCTATGAGAGCTGGGTCAGGAGCGAAACTTTGCATGTAGAAGTTTTGAATTTGATTCAAAAAGTGCTGAAAGCCAATATTATTGCCTGTTGAATTATGTGAGGGGACTGAACTACTGTGGAGGAGGTTTTCCTTCAGTGAACAGGCTTAGTGAATTTACCAACTGTTGATAAACCCCCTGGAAAAGAACAGAGTGGCAATTCACTCAATACTTTATGCAGTGTAGTTTGTATTCACAGATCAAGTGGACGAAAGCTTGCATTTTGTTAACATTTTTAGCCAGAGGAAGTTTCTTTATATTTATAAAAATGATATATACTAGCTGTGGCCCCGCTACATATACTTTTTTCAAGCATAGTTTTTGTTACTTTGAAGGGGAGCATGTTGATGTTTTATACACTCATGAGTTGAAACTCGAAAGAGAACTAGTGCAGGCATATGATATTCAAAGGAGACATTCCTCAGACATACTTCGAGCAAATATCGAAACGAAACAACCTTAACATTTTATAATCTTTGTAAGCTGCCTACCCACAGGGTAGACCATGTTTCAAGACAATCAGAAGGACCACCACATCTTTTTAAAGTAATTTTCCTCCTGTTTTGTTTTGTTTTCTAGACGCCCTTTGCCTTTTGGTTGGACTCTGGCAAATGGACTGGTCTTGAAGAAGGTACACACCCTTATTTTTCAGAAAATATTTTATGACAAATCAAGTTCCCTGCCTCCTCCCCAGGCACTTCGTTTTCGCACTCTGGTCGTGAACAAAGGTGAGCACGAAACGTGAGAGACTGGTGACAAAGCGCCGGGGACCACGGGATCCCCTGGGTACGAGGCAGCCCAGTTCCCTTGAAATTCTTCTTCAAAGCACCAAGAAAGTACTGACAAGTAGGTGTCAATTGGTTGGTCACCGCAGGTAATTTAGCCACAGGTTCAAAAGTTAGAACCACCTTACAAGAATCCATGATTCACTCAAGGTGTGAAAACGTTCTTTTTTCTTTTGAAAACGGCCACTTTCTTGAACGTCCAATTTGTTTAATGGACTAATGACTGTTTTGTGATGGTTTTTGATATTGGTAATTCTCTTTTTTTCTCAGATTCGACTGGCTTTAGGGCTAGACCGCTGCAGGCTTTGTTTTGTGGGCGCAGCTCCCGTTACCTTGGAAACCCTTCGTTATTTCCAGAGCATCAACGTGCCGCTGTACGAACTGTACGGCATGAGCGAGTGTACCGGCCCAATGACAGTGTCCATTCCTGGTCATATCACAGCAGGAAGCTGCGGTATAGCCATGGAAGGATGTGAAATGAAGATTATCAACGAGGACGACGATGGAAATGGAGAGGTGAGATTTAACTAAACAAGCAACAATTCCCAACTCTCTGAACTAGTCGCCACTTTAACCCAAAATTGAGATTCTCACTAACTGGAGAATTTGTTGAAATATCAATTACACTCATCTTCCCTGATCATGCACTCAATTCTCATGACTACTCTGTTTTCTAAAGCATTGATATAATAAGGAGAAATTCCATGCTGATGACTCCTAGGGCTTTAAGGGTTAAAAGTGGGAAGGAAACTGGGCCGAGTTAACTTTTGCAAAGACTTCTGGGACTGTTGCTAGGGACAGATAAAAAAATTGGCCAATAGCTGGCCGTGCGCGTGCTCCAGTTCTCTTTTCGTTTCTAAAGTGGCGAATAAGACGACAGAAATGACGTTTTAATGTTCAAAATTCAAGCGGAACTACCAGCTTCAGGCAAGCGGTTTTCATTAAGACATTATCTTGTATCAAGAGAGGATAAAGGGGACAGAGAAGGCATCCCCCATACACACCCTATTCCATAGGTAATTCGTCTCGAGTTATTTTTAAGACCATAGAATGTGTTCCGCGTGGATGACCCACGCTCAGAGCCACGCGTCCTTCACGAATTGACGCAGAAAAAAATGGCAGAAAACGCGGAGAGCGATATGGCTATTTGTTTTGTCGACGAAAACGACTAAAGAGAGATTTCTGCTGAAGCTGTGTCAGCGAAACGGAAATTAAAAAAGAATCGCCCTTCCTCTCTTGTATAGAGCTAACAGTACAGCAGGGAAAACATTAACACACTGAATATTTTCTCAGGATCATTTATAATTTACAGTTTGAAGAAAGCAATTTCTGGTTTGATATTTATTCTTTTATTAGTCTTTTATAATTCAACAAAAATAACACTTGGCGTCCTACTTGCTTTATTATACAATAGACCGGCGAAGCTTCTCATTTTATTAAATTACTGAGGTTACGACAACTTCGAGTTCAACTGATTTCACGGGTTGTCAAAGAGTGCAGCGATTCCCTTTTTCCAGATGAGCGCCGACTCATTTCGCTTCAATATTCAGAAATGCTCTCGATCTCTTCACGCTTTCATTGCCTTTCGCCCGACGTGTTTTGCACGGCGTTTAGTCATGCGAAACCTCCGCGAAACATCCACGCAGTGCGCGAGGTAACTTTATCCCGATTCTAAAAATAACTCGAGACGAATTGCCTATGGAATAGGGTGTGTATGGGGGATGCCTTCTCTGTCCCCTTTATCCTCTCTTGCTTTTATTTATATGAGAGTCAGTATGGGCAACAGAAAACTGTTGTCTATACGTTATTCGCAAACGCGTTGTAGAGATATTTTTCTGAGAAAATCGCTCTCAAGAGACTGAGAAAAGAAAATTGCGCTATCATTACACCATTTCCGTGGTTTACTTATTTTTTACTCTATTCATAAATCAGTCAGATATAGTAAAATTCATTAACCAAAGGTCGTGCTGAAGAGGAAAAAGGTTTTTGTCAGTTCACTTCTAGTAGAAAACGTTTCTCACTTGTCTTACACACCTCCGTTGAAGGAGCAGTGGGCACCAAATGTTTCAAAATTCAAACAGTGGGAGAGCGGCCATATCAATCTCTACTCGTGCGCCTTTCCCTCGCGTGTTGTGCGCGTGTGATACGCTTTCGCGCAGTCTATTTTTCTTATGCGGCTGCTTCCTATACTAGAATTAACACAATGATACTTAGTTTGGTTAATTTATAAGCGCACATCTTTCTTTCTTCCGCGGAGAAAGAAATGAATGCTCTCAACATTTGAATTCACTCTTTGCTTGATAATACTCAGATTTGTATGAAAGGGCGCCATGTTTTCATGGGTTACTTGAACAACGAAGAGAAGTCAAAGGAAGCGTTGGATAGTGAAGATTGGCTTCACACAGGCGATATCGGGAAAATCAACGAGGTGGGTACTTCTTTGCAAGGGAAACTTAGCATCATATGGCTATAATTATAGCTTGCCCAGAGACGTTTTTTCTTTTTTTTCGAGAATTGCGAGCGCGCGAGAACGAGCAGGGAGAGCGAGCAGGGAGCCCTCACAAACACCCCCTTGCGCTGGCGGTTTTTATTTTCATATGCGCGCTCGACGATCTCTAAAGAGAAAATAGGTTTGTTAACAGGGTACTTTGATTAAGACCTTGTCTTAATTGAAATGATTGAGTCATCTGTTAGCGACGTAAAGCAATCGCCCTTGTTTCTTTCATCCTTGCTTGTCATTTGGTTGGGTTGCCCGGGGGAAGGGGAGTGGTTAATAAATGGCTTTACCAGTAGGTTGGGTGGGAAAGGGCTCACAATAAATTGCGTTGCTTTAGTGTCCCTGCATCGTCCTTTAACGCTTTTAAAACTAAACAAGATAATAATTATTTGGCTGGCTTGTCTGGAAAGTGCAGTGTCCGGGATGCGATGATAGGAGTGTGGAAAAATGCGGAGTTGCCAAGTAGTCTGAGCCACTCATATAATAATTCATCTTTCTCGTATATTGACCAGGTTTAATATTAATTCTACCATTCTCACGGAACCACAGTCAAACTGCTTGTTTCTTTGTTTTCTTTTTCCTTCTGTAAAGAATGGACAATTGTTTATTACTGGACGCATCAAAGGTAAGTGATTTGTGGTATTTTTGGTTTTCACATGACGTCACCAAATTAAAAATAATAATAAATAAATAAAGCATCGATCCTCCTGAGTTTTTACTTTCATGAAGTGTTAGAGCAGCTAAAAACTTTTATTTTTACAAATTTTCACGTCGAAAGGGTTCTCGTTTTGTGATAGAGTACGCGTGAATTTGTAACCTTTTGTGTGACAAGGCATTAACGTGGCGGCCGAGAGAGCTGTCATGTATGTTAAAAAGGTGACTTATTTTGGGGGATTTTGATGTTATAGCGGTTCCTTCTCCTATCGCGTCAAATTCTATAGTTTTATGTTTATGCAGAAGGTTTCCCCTTGTGTGGTCTTTGTAAATGGTAAGCACCCCTTGTGTCTGCAATACGATGTATCGGAAGCGTCCTCACGTATCCAGATATTTTTGAATCTGCAACTTTTTCTTTCCGGTCAAAAATTTCCACGTCTACAGGTATCTGTATTCAAATAGAATTTGCCCGTCCACACGTAACCGACTCGTATCTGGATTCACTCTAGTACTCAGGACTCCTCTGGGAATATTGGCAACAGAGCATGCGTCGTAAAGCGCACGAAATTTGCATCCTGCAGGATGCATCAACGGGCAAAAGAGAGAAAACCTGGGAACGAGGTTGCCATCTTGAATACAGTATTCACGGTAAAGAACTGGGCTCCATCTTGTTACGTCACCGGAAAAAATCTGGATTTAGCGTCCGCAGATTCCCGATTCATAGCGTGTTCAAAAATTTCCACTCTGGAGAGCGGATTCAAAACGTTGTGGATCCGTATACCGGATTCACCGGATACGTGTGAACTGAAGTCGCGTCCGGAAAGAAATAGTTGGGGATTCAATAATATCCGGATACTTGTGGACGGGGCCTTAGTCGCGGGTTTACATTTTTCTCGCAGAATTAATTATCACTGCTGGCGGTGAGAATATTGCTCCAGTCCCCATCGAAGACGCCATCAAAGAAGAGGTGCCTTTAATTAGCAATGTGATGGTCATTGGTGATAAGAGAAAGTATCTTTCCTGTTTGGTTACGCTGAAGGTAAGAGCAGCATACGCTTGTTTGAAATAAATAGAGTCTTGAGCTTTTACGCAGACACTGTTTTGGCCCCTCTCGCAACGATCCTTCTAAAGAGGAGTGCGTGATGAGCCAGTAATTATGCAGTTTTAAACATATCCTAGCACCCACTACTTACTGTTGCTTGTCACGTAAGGATCCTTCCCAAGGAAGAGTGCGTTATGAGCCAAAAGAACTTTTGAATTGGAGGCTAAACCGTAGGCATTAACTGTTTGTCTAGAGTCTTTGTTTATCGTGACGACCCTTCCCATGGAGGAGTACGGTGCGTGACGAGCTCAAACAACGGTTTATGCAGGAGGTTAATCCGCGTGCTGCAATAAGTTTTTCTCGAGTTTGTTGTGTTCTTAATATGATTTTTTTTGTTACCCAGGTTGATGTGGACGCAGATACTGGAGAGCCTTCAGATAATCTCACTGAGCTTGCTGTTAAGTTTTGCAAATCTCTCACTTGTGAAGCAAAAACTGTTTCGGAAATCTTGTCAAGTAACGATGAGAAAATAATGAAAGCAATTAAAGAAGGCATCGACCGGGCAAATGCCAAAGCCGTGTCCAGAGCTCAGAAGGTGGGTAGAGTAATAAATAGTCATTCTTAACCCTCAAAGCCCCAATATCCACTGACAGACTCTCAATACTGATCACCATATATTTCCTCAATGAAGAAGTTGAGAGAATGTGTTTGAAGATCAAAGCATTTTCCCTTTAGTAATAATTTCATTTATTATCATATCCTACTCTTTTGATTATTATTATTAGTTCAAAGTCTTTGTTGTCTGCATTCTGCTTCTTTCTGACTGGCTGTTTTGGTTTGTTGGCTCTGAAAGTAGCCTCCCCGCAGTCGTCCTTTGAATGCGTGACAAACGAACCCCAAAGGACGTCTGCGAGGAGGCTACTCTGAAAGTTGATCTGTTCGCGGCGAACTGGATCCTTCGTTCTGCTTGCTGACGTTTTGCTTGATCAGGAGTCATGGTGGCTAGCGTTCATTTTAGACTGTTGATGATCTGAGTGTCTGAGCTAACGTTTTTTCTTGCTGTTCAATCATGAGGCTGAGGAGGTCCTGTTCTTCTCTGGTACAGATCTCTTTCGAGACGTTTGTTGAAATCCTGGCCGGGTCTAAGGTGCGGTCTGGGTATCCAGGGCTGTTCTCTAGCAGAGCCCGGTGGCCCATGGTGCCCAACTTTTGCACCTGGACGACTAGAAAGTCAAAGATCTTTTATACAAATCATATACTGGGCACCCTAGGTTTTACATGTTCAGAGCACTGGGCTCCCTTCAATTTTCCTTAGAGCACAGCACAGGTATCGATATTGTTGGGAGAAAATTGATGTTTGCTGCCCTTTGGACTGTGATCTCTAGGTATACGGATAAACAACTATCCAGCGGATAAGTGTTAGGAAAATTGATTGCGTTATCAACTGGATGGTTATTTAACCAGTGGATAGCGTTATTCACCTTTTGAACAACTGGGGCTTGGGAAGAGCGGGATGAGGAGCGGGACGAGTACACGTCAATAGTACACGTCAATAGTCCAGTGAATACAAACATTAACGAAACATTTATACAGGGTTAGCCTCGACGTAAGTAAAAATATTCAGAAATTCCGGCAAATAAGTGTTTGAAATTTGAATATGCACAATAGACAAAGAAATAAACAGGTATTTTTCTCGTTAGAGTTTGTAAATATATTACTTCAGATGGAGGCTAAGCCTGTAAAAAATGCGTCTTCACTTCTTTAATTCAGCGGTCATAGCGAACTCGAAACTGGACTATTTTGTGTCCATGTCTTCAGAGTGTACAAGAGCTATGTGAACCATCTGTTTTTTTTTTTACCTGTGACGTAAATTTTTAGAACCACTGAATCTCTTTTTTTAGGTGCAGAAGTTCATCATTTTAGAGAAAGACTTCTCTATCCCTGGAGGAGAGCTGGGTAAGAATTGCCCGTTCACTTTGTTGTCGTTATTAGGGAGTTAAAGCAACTGGGATGGCGGCAGCAACGGGGACGTTATTAATAAAGTGTATTCGCGTTGTTTAAAAATTTATGGGGGTTATTTCAACTGGCTTCATTGGTCAAATGTTGGCGAGTTTTCCTTAAGTTAAATTTTTAGGGAGCACACAAAGTTTAAGAATAGTGTTTACGTCCTCTATAATACATCACACTAGAAAGTCAATGTGAAAAGGTTTCATGCTGTAATCGTGCAGTGACAGCGAAGAAATGTGCAAAAGGCCCGATGCACCTCGTGCGTAGTTGTTGTTTAGTGGTTATTATACCTATTGTTTTGCGACGTCCCCGTTGCCGTCCCCTTCGTGGTTGGTTGACCCTTTAAGCCTCAATATCCACATACAAATTCTCCAAACTGATTTCTATTCGTTTCCTTAAGGAATAAGTTGAGATAATTTAATAAGAGATCAAGGCATTTTCTCTTGAGTGGTCATTTGATTAACTCTCATAACGTATGTTGTTTAGTTCATTATTCAACTGCGAGGATCATTCCCATTTTTATATCTTTATCTGCAGCTCAAAATATGAGATATTTCATATAAAAAATTATTTCCATTATTTAAAGATCTTAATGATACTGATGTTGATATTGGTGATGGTATTGACGATAATTTGGGAGCTAACTTGCGTCGCGGAAAACTCCTTTGCCACCCTCATAATAATGATAATACTGATGGTGTGGTAATGTTTGTAGCAATGATGATAACGATGATGATGCTAGTGATGTTGGTGGTGATGGTGACCATGGTATCGATGATGAATTGTTGGCTGTTACGGTGATGATGGTTGTGTTAACCCATTCGCTCCTGGAGATTTTGCCGAAAAACGCGTTTTGAAGCTAGTCGAGTGGTTTTCTGGTCACCGTCGTGCTATAAAGAGCTAAAACTTACCACAAACCGGTTTACAGGTCGTACACTTGGCGGCCTTCTGATCCAGATGCAAAATATCAGCTTGCGAAGTTCGGGCATGCGTAGAAAGCAAAATTTCGACAGTTTTTGGGTTTAAAAGTGACACAGCAGTCTTGACTTTTACTTTTCGCTTTCTCTCCTCCCTTCTTTTTACGCTTTTCTTGCCTCATTTTTTTTTTCTTGCTGGGCATTTAGTAGGCTTCATTTTGGTGGGAAGAGTTTTTAGGAAAGCTTTTAGGATCTTAGGATTAGGTGAAAGGAAAGGTAGGGGGGTAATGGAACAAGATTTTCATGGAGATTTTCAGGTCCTTGTCACGTGGTTTTTTGCTTCTTTCTCCGGTGTCCTTGACTGAATTGTGCTCATTCTGGTATGGTTTGAAAGATCTCTTCACTCTGCACAAGTTAGCGAAGAAAGTTGTCCGTGACCTTTAAAACTGATGACGTCACAAAGGGTAGAAAGGACCTGGATCCGCACGGGCGGTTACGGGCGGTTCAGGGGCGAATGGGTTAATTTCATTGATATTGATAATGGGAAGCAAGGTTGTCGCAGTGGAGAGTGAGAGCACTCACTTCCCACCAATGTGGTCTGTCTTTATATCTCGGCGTCGCCGGCATATGTGGGTTGAGTTTGTTGTTGGTTCTCTCCCTTGCTCCGAGAGGTTTTCTCCGGGTACTCCGGTTTTTCCCTCTCCTCAAGAACCAACACGTCCAAATTCTAATTCGATCTGGAACGCACGGACACATTTCAACGAGTTCTTAAAGAGTCCTAGTATTTCATGGGTAAACAAATATCAATTTGATTGTGATGGTGGTGATTATGATGATGATAGTGGTGGTGATGGAGACAGTGATGATAATGTTGATGATGGTGTCATGGTGATGTTTAATATGCCTGTGAGGATGATGATGATGATGATGAAAATGACTATGATTATGCCGACAATAATGATGGTGATGTTGATGATTCTTTTTATCAACAATGGTGATAATGATGATGGTAATAGTGTTGATGATGCTGGCAATGATGGTGACGTGGATGGCCATGATGTTGATGATAATGACAACGATGGTGGTGATGTTGATGATTCTGGGTGTCAATAATGGTGATAATGATGATGGTAATAGTGTTGATGATCCTGACCATGATACTCGCAATGATGGTGACGTGGATGGCCATGATGATGATAATGACAACGATGGTGGTGATTTTGATGATTCTGCGTGTCAATAATGGTGATGGTGATGATGGTAATAGTGTTGATGATGCTGACTATGATGCTGGCAATGATGGTGGCGTTGATGGTTATGATGATGATATTGAAAATGATACATCAGCAAGACAATATAAATTAACAGAATACTTGTACATTTTTCCAGGTCCCACCCTCAAACTGAGGAGGCCGATTGTGTCCAAGATGTTCAAAGACAAAATCGACGCCCTTTACGAGGACGAACACCATTGAAATCAAAACGTAATATAATGATTTTTTGAAAGGAAGAGACTGCTAACATAACCAGTGCGCACGGCAAAATGCGGCGAATTCGCTGGATATTGTGCTCACTTTATCATGAAAGCAGTGCCGTGTGACATCTTGATTCCAATTCATTCGTAAAGTTTGTAAAGAGCGTCGTCACATAATTTGTTTGCAAAACCCACTTCAGACTTTTGCAATCGATCAATTACCCAAAATGTTGTCGAATCACTCCAGTAACAGTAACCCGTAAAAAAAAGGGGGGGGGGGGTCAGGTTTTAGTGCCCCTTAAAATAAGAGGGAATGTATCTATTCAGTGTACTGGGTCAGAAAGGATGGTTGTGGTAGAGAAAGGGACCGTTAGAAGAGATTCGACCGTATTACCGAGTTGACGAAGCAGGCCAATCTGGTTTTCAACGCTTGTCGCCGTATAGGTCAGTTTGTAGTTTCGAGTGAGTCTGGTTTGGTTTTGTGTCGAATTGCAACATGGGAGTGGCTGACGCTATTTCTTTTTTTATTGGCTAGTCAGGCAAGAGACTGGGTAAAAATTCATATCCCAAAACAATCCCACAGTTCAGTTCGACACGAAAAGGATCTTAGATACAAACATAAAATGACCCATGAATTCTTATTTCACATCAGTTCCGTGCCCGAACATGTATCAGTATTTGGTTAAAAAAAATTTCCGAGACAAGAACGGGGTACGTTTGCATGCCACGCCAAATACCTATGTGCGCGTTCATTTCTGTAATCAACTTTTGTTTGCTCGCTTTATGTAATAATTCTACTTGTAAAAGAAAGTAAAGTATGATACAGTGACGTTAAAATAGATAGCATAGAGTCTTTGAAACGTTATTCAATTAAATTGTCGCTGATTTTGAAGCTGAACTTAAAAGAAGTGCACCATCAGTAAGTAATTAGTAACAGCTTTAATGTAAAGGATCATAATGCGTGATTATATCTTTCGTAGCACGCCTCAGAATCACAGTAAGAAAGGGATGCATGTGATAAATAAATTTTGAATCTTCAACCCGATTACTCACTTTTGTTATAAAAAAAACAATAATTTGTACGTGTAATGATTGCGTGATAATTAAAAGGTGTAGCATTTAATCACAAGGCAGTCAACGTTTTCTTTTCATCGAGGAGGGGACCACAGATTCGTTAGAAATTAATGTACTCCATGAACATTTCTTCATGAGGTGCATTACTCAAAAAGGGTGTAGGCCCTTCTATTGTACTTCTGCAAAATAACTTATTTTGTCTTTTTGACCGTCAACCCTGTAAGGCAAGAAGGCCTGATTACCTTTAATTGTTTTTTTCCTAGTTTGCATAAACTCAGAGGCGTAGAAGTATGGGTGTTTGGCCAAAGCCTTTAAACATGGGATTTACAATAAAGGAACAAAATTATGGCTAGGCTACGTAAAAAGGTTCATTCTTCTCGTGACTAAAACAAAAGCCAGCAATACATAAGAACTTCTTCTGTTCGTAGAGACATTATAGCTCGGTGTACATAATTGGCATATAGAAGTAGACGGTCTTCTTTGCTGCAGTTCTTAAAGTTCTTCGATCATAAGTTATTTTATCCCAGTCATTCAGTCCCAGAGAAGGAGATATCGGTTGATTTGGCTGGCCCGTCTGTCCTCCATATTAACACCTCCCAGCAACTGATCTTTACCTTTACCTCACGAGAAAAGTTTCACGTTGTCCCCAATTAACAGAAAGGGGGCCCATTGACCAACTTCCGGAAAGCCATTAACTCTCATCCATTTCATTGTCTGGTGAAGAGCTTCACTTGCGCTTCTTCCGCGGGCAAGGCAAGCGTAAAAGCGATTCATAAACTGCTCGGTTGCTTCGTCTTCGATAGCCCACAATGCCACCAACACTGAGCGCGCACCGGACGCCAAGAATGCACGAGCGATTCCAACAACTCCCTCAACTCTGACATCTCCACGTGCACTGTGACAGCAGCTCAGAACCACCAACTTGGCTTGTAGGCGAACTTTTGAAATGTCAGACAGTGTCAGTAAGTAATCTTGTTGTTGCGGAATCCCATTCGAGGAGCGCTCGGGAGCAAGGGCAATTTCTCCTCTTTCAGCATCTCCATGAGCTGCGAAATGGATCAGACTTACTGAATGTATCCTTTGAAGCACAGCCCGCTTAGTTGCGTGTTCTCCCAGTAAAGGCTGGACACCCAGCAGTCTTCCAATACTTTCTGCTTCTCTTCTTGCAGAAGGTAATGGCGTTAGGCTCACAATGCGCCCTTGGTAGACCACATCTCCTACTTGAGGGTCGCCAACTATCAATGCACCAGAACGACTGTGATAGCTCACTGGGCTGTCCTGAATAAGCTTCAGGGTAGTCAACGAAGGAGCGATGCGGATCCGGTAGGTCTCTGATAAATACCTTCCATTTTCATCTTTTAATGCAGCGAATGGAACGTTGAACAAGCAGCGATCTGGGACAATGATTATTTCGGGTTCATGGAGCAAATCAGCCACGGGAGAGATGATCATTTTGTAACCTTGACTATACTTAAGGTCCTGTTCGGGTTCTGATTTTTCGTTTTCGTCAGATTCTCCAAGGCGCAAGGCAGCAACTTTATCCTGAACTGTGTTCAGCGACGAATGAGCTGTTGGTCGCCTCTCAAACACGGGACTTAAAGATCGATCTTCGCAATTCTTCAAAGGGGGCACGGAAAATCTTCTAAACTTGGCAAAAAATTCACTGAAATTTCGTATTGCCCCAACTCTATCAAAGTCTTTACACACGTTTATCGTTCGATATTTGACTCCACTTGTCTTCAGAATCCAGAAGGACATATCTTGCTTGACATAAGAAATGTATAAACAAACACAGCTCGGTTCCTTGTTCATTATACGTTCAATTCCAAGCATTGACTTTGGAGTGACTAGGAACTGTTTTCCAAAGTACTGAATGGCCATTAAATGTGCCAAAGACCTGGCTCTGGCCATTTCTACAATGTGGAGAGCTTCCAGTGGATTTTTCTTACTCAGTTGAATAGCTCTCTCGTGACATTCTTCAGCCTTTGAATATTCGCCCAGGGGCTCAAACACAGCTCCCAAGTTTCCATAACTTGCAGCTTCTCCTTGTCTGTCACCAGTTTCCTTTGAGATGGCAAGTGCCTTCATGTGACATTCTCTTGCTTTTACGTTGCTGCCAAGGCACTGCCACGTAGATCCAAGGTTTCTGAAGCTTGCTGCCTCTCTTTCCTTGTCACCGATCTCCTGGGTGATTGTTAGTGCTTCTGCATGACATTCTAAAGCCTTTCTGTTTTCGCCAAGGAATTGCAACGTAGTTCCCACGTTTCCGTAACTGGCTGATTCCCCTTTCCTGTCTCCAATTTCTTTAGCAATGAAAAGTGCTTCATCGTGATAATCCAATGCTAATCGATGTTCATCAAGGCAATGTAACGTTTCTGCTACGTTTGTGTTACTAGCTGCCTCTCTGTTTCTGTCGCCACTTAGTACCGCAACCATTCGTGCGTCCTCATGACATCCAATTGAATCTTCATATTTGCCAAGGCCTTGTAATGCATTTGCAATGTTTGTGCTGCAGTCTGCTTCTAGACCTTGATTACCACTTGTTGCCGCAATGAGACGTGATTCCTCGTAACAGTCTATAGCCTGTCCATGTTTGTCCCAACCACGAAGCGAATTTCCAATGTTTGTGTACACCGCCGCTTCTCTATCCACGTCGCCGGTAGTTACTGCGGCCATAAGTGCCTGTTCATGACATACCATTGCCTCCTGATGTTTACCGAGAGAATGCAAGGTATTTGCCATCTGTGTATAAACTGTTGTTTCCATATCCGGATCACCACCAGCTATTGCATCCATAAGTGCTTGGTCGTAATATTCCATTGCCTCCCAATATTTACCCACTGACTGCAACATATTGGCTTGGCATAAGTATAGCTCTCTTCCTCTTTAGAAAAGCCCCGTTTTCCTGATGCTCTGCGTTTTTTGCTCATGATGGCACACCAAAGGAGGGAAACCGTTTATTAAATGTTAATTGAATTCCATATTTACTGTTGGTAATGGCAAGACTAGTTCATCAAAATATTGAACAGTTACGAGTAATGGCCATACTTTTCCACATCTTCGTTTCTGTGTGACGTGTGTTCCAAATGATCATGTACTCGATCGTAAGAACATTATCTGATTGTGGTACCATGAGACCTTTCTCTAGTAAGAAAACGAAAATTAACACTCACGGAACTGTTTTATTAATTAAGAGGATTTTAAATTTTTCTATCAAAAGGAAGATCGATATTGCAAACGCACAGCCACAAAATATGTATTACCGGCCCAAGCTCACCAATGAGAATCGTTGTTGCGTAACAGAAATATATATTATATAGGGATTGTACAGGGGTTTTAGTCGTTATTTAGGGGTCAAAAATAGCAAGAAAAATACATCAGAATTTCTTACCTTTAGTTGTCTTGTTTTATTTAGGGTGTGTTCATAGCATTTTTGGCCGTTTCAGGACCGATTGCAACGAGTTTTAGTTCTGCAGTTGTTCTTTTCGATTCTCTCCAGACTATATATCATTCATAGAAGGAACAACGGCAAAACTAAAACCTGAAACGACCAAACGTGCTTACCCTGCTGCAGAGTCGCTTCGAGGCCGAAAGATCGAACCGACGCTGCCCTAGACGTACGGGCCGGGGGGGGCGAGGGGGGCTACAGCCCCCCCAAAGTTTGGGCAACTCAGATTTTTTGGGCAGCGAGAGGAAATTTGGGCAAAGCCAGTTTTAAAGGACGTCTCCATGTTCATTTAATTATTTTAAACACCTGAATATTAACCTGAAGTATGCGTAATAATCCAGTTACATTACAGTGGTTGCTTAGCATGTGATGAGTAATTTACATATTTGCAGTTTTTTTTTGATGGGCACTATACTGCACTGCACTAGCTGGAATGGGCTATTTCCAGTCGAGAATTGATTAAAATAAACTTTCGCATAACTTTCTAGAATCATCTTCACTCGAAGAACAGTGTATGGCAGACAGCATTGCCTGAATAGTAAGCGTTTCCGCGCGATTTCGACTGAAAACGCTTCAATGGGTATGAAAATGAAGAAGTGGCTGACTAATTCTCAGTTTGAATTACGAGAAGAATCTTAATTCTTTTAAAAAATCTATCGAGCGGTTTAAAATTATTCGCTGATTTGTTAATGTAGACCGAAATGTTTACAAAACCGCTAACAAGAGTTTCTCGATACATACTAATCAAATCCTTCTTTCGATTCTAGCAATCAAGCCCAGCTATCTCCAGGATCTTTCACACATGTTTTTAAACAGATTAAAACTACTATATATGAGGTGAAATTGCAGGACAAAAGAGCTTCGTTTTCTACAGATAATGGCCAAAAATCAAGATTTTCCTTTTCTTACCGTATTTCTAATAATAAAAACTTCATTGCAAAATATCTCGATAACGCTCTTAAGGTTTTGCTTAAACTTCACGAACATCGAGGCGACCGTATTGGAGAAAAAAAAGCTCCTGTGAACGATTTTGTAAGGTTCCCGTGCCGAGAATCATTGCTGAAGTAAAATAGGTAATGGAGTTATTTCGTTGCTATGACAACTCCGATGTCATTGCAACCCTGATAATGCCAAATTTTCATCTTAATACCACTGTGGTCGCAGTTTTTCCAAATGTTTGTTTATGGCGACGTAGTTTATGCTCAGACTTGGTATTGACCCTGAAAACCTGTATCGAGACACCTTCATATGCCAGGACGGCCTATGTTGTTGCAATATGGCCCTCATTTCTTTTCGACTCTTTCGTAAAAATTTGGGCAATTTAGGAGATTTTTTTGGGCAAATGGTTTACCCCCCTGGCAAAAAATTTCCCGTACGCCTACATATGGACGCCGCAAGCAGTTAAAAAAATTCTGAGGACACACCATAAACTAGACTCGCCGAAACGCGACTTTAATTGAACTGCCATAAAACTATTGTAGCTGTCCAGCCGACCAATGCGTGACCGGGTGCGTGACATATAATCTCATGTTAGAGGGAACGTTGTACCCTTTACAGTGTAAGTTTTGGAAGACTTTCGTAATTATGTCAAAATGTCGCTTCGAGACGCGAGAGAACCTGGGCCGAAATCTGTGACCGTACATCTATTAAAGCAAAACTGTAGACAACAATATTGAGAGTGATTATTTGTCGGAGACCCGTTCGCAACAACCTAGACTTTTCAGAATTATTGTACTGCATGAAAGCAATAAGTTAACCAGAAGAGACAGCAAACAGCCTTTTAAACCCATCAAGGTTATTCAACAGAGACTGATAGAGATGATCAATAGACGATAATCTATAAATTATGGTAGACACGCGCTGTGCCAAAAGATAAAAATGTTTATACGTTTCAAGATTCTTTCCTATTGATATAATAACACACTGTCATTAAAAGGGCATAGTGCTGCTGATTCCAATCTACTTCCGGTATTCACTTGTTGGCTTCGATTATTTGGAGGTATAACACTCTTGAAAACTAACGAAAATTGGATCAATGTACACTTTCGTCTTCCATTCGAATTTTACTAGACACTGAGTTGCTAAACAGGAAGCTTAAAATTGTAAACTTTTTCAGATGGTTGTGAGTCGAACGATACCCGAACACTTCTGATTAATACAAACACAAACAGTCAAAATTCAGTGAAAATTGAACAGTCGCGACAGTAATCGGTAAGGCCTGTGCTTATCACAAAGCAATCAGTTTTTTCAACGTTTTACGGTTGTAGGCTTTACAAGCTAAATAGGCTAGGATGCAGTATAGTTTACACTTACCATGTTGCGATGGAGAGAAATCACTGAGAAATGGCGAAGATACACCGATTCCCTGAATTTTAAGACGGTATGTTTCCTAGAAAATCAAACTTAGTTACCAGTCCTTTTAGACCTGTCTCCTTAGAGCCTGGGATCAAGGTTGATAATCGGGCTGTCCAATATAAAGATTTTGCGAAGCTCTCGTAAATAATCTACAATTTAATTACTCAAAAAAATATAAAATCGTGTAATGCTAAGGGACGACGGCAACGAAAACAGCAAAAAAATCAGTAGGTCTAATTAGCAAAAAAACAACTTTGCACGTGCAGCACACTTTTTATGTACATTTCTTTGCCTGTTGTTTTGCACGACTATAACGTGAAACTTCCAGAAACTTCCTAGTTACACGTTTTAAGGAGGAAGCGTTGTATGTGTTCCTGTTCACCTTTTTCGCTGCCATTAAACAATTTTCACCTTGGTGGCTGCTAGCATTTCTCCTTTTCTTACCGCTGCTATAAAATTTTCATGTTTTTATGCAACGAAATTGATATCCTTCGTTTTTATCTCTCGTTCTAGCTCTTTCTCCGTTATCCAAGTCAATATAGACGTTAGAATTAAGTCGACAGAAAGAATCGAATTGTTTCTTATCTCTAAACGTCCGGGTGGCTATGCGATTTACCGTCGAAACGCGCGGGTGCTTGAAAAGCAAAATTTCACCCTGGCTTGCTTAAAGGGGTGGATGTACGTAGGTACGCATAAGTAACCAAATTTTCTTACCAGTGGTGCTCCGCTGCGCCCGCGCAGCGGATCCGCTATCACTAAATAGCTACTAAATCATAGCCAAACAAGTTATGGCAAGAAAAGTTAAAAGAAAAAATGTAAGTCATACAGTAAATTGCTGTTTACAAAACCTTGGGCCTATACATTTTCGTAAAGAGGTTTCAGGAGGGCTTATAAACGGTTAGTATATGCGAGAGGACTAGTTCTAACCGGAATAGAAAAAGCGCTTCGATACAAGCTACAGTGGTGCTGATCAAAATACGTTTTGTACTTACTTTTTTTTAATTAATCTTGAAAACGTCATAGTAACTCGAATTCATTTCAATACATTTGGAGGGGGCTTAAAATGGATGTATGTTTTGTTTACAGGTAGAGGGGCCTATAGTGGGGAAGGGGGCGGGGGGCGAGGGGGGAGGGGGTGTTATTACCGGCAGTTCACGGTTGATAACTGATAGCCAACAATAGCTAACAATAGAGAGCTTAAGCAACGGCGACGGCTACGGCTATGGCTACGAAAACGTCAGTTACAAAGTGTGTTCGCGCTGCTTCAAACTTTATCGCGCGTTTTCCATCTCATTCAGTTGGTCAAATGTTAGAGAACTTTTCTGGGGTTGAATTCTAAGGGACTGTATTAAAGTTCAGAAGTTCTTTTGAACAGAGGGTCGTGGCCTTTTGTTCACGACCTCCACAAAACGTGAAATTAGGCACTTTCACGTCGTAGTCGTACAACGACGGCAAAGAAATGTACAATTAAAAAGTGTGATGCACGTGCAAAGTTACTGTTTTGCCAGTCTAAACCTATTGCTTTTATGCGGAGGAGGGGAAGGCTAAGCTTAGGGTAAGCACAAGATCAGACTTCGAACCAGGGGTCGTAAGAATACGTACATGCGGATATTTGGACGCTTGCTAAAGCGTTGTCCTTTGGTTGAGGTAGCTAATGGGAAAGGGTAATTAGGGGCAAACGTTTACAATCTTCTTGTAAACTATGGCTTGCAATTCAGTATCCCTTCATGATTAAAGGGGTCATGTCAAGACAGTTAAAGATAGAATACAAGTCGCTTCGCATCAATTGAATTTCAAAAATAATGGTCCAGTTTTTTTTTTCATTTAAGACTATATTTAGGCATTGAAAAACTGATTGCTGTAGTCTGTTGCTACGGGTGACAAGGATAGACATGGATTGAAACCTGAAAAAAGTTAAGCCATTTTGTAATGTTTTAATTCTATAGCCTATTCTGTGGCCAATTATAGACCCTATCTTGTACTTTTATAAACATGTTTTTGACAACAGAAAATATTAAACGAATTAATATTTTTCAGCATTTTGTACCTGCACTTTCGAAGGCCCGTTTTAATCTTCCCCTCATCTCGTACCCAGATATTCCTCGGCCAAAGTGGGATCTGGGTACAAGATTAAAACTGACCCCACCGAGTTTTACGGGGTTGGACTAGACTGACTCTTGTTCAGCTCTTGAAGAAAACGAACATGTTTTCACTTTCATGTGTACACGTGCGTAACTGGGAAAGTACAAACTTCAACCTCAATCCCCGAGGCTTCTCGGCCACATTCGGTCTCCGAGGTACGCATCTTTTCATCTTTTTAGCTATTGTCAATTGTCTTAACCTATAAAGTGAACTCGCTTTTTCATTTTTCTCAGCCTTTCCTGGCCTAGTCTTCTTCGGGGGACAATAAAAAAAGAAAGAGAGAAAGAGATACGAAGTTCTTTGGCCTGACACGCAAGCAAAAATAGCAACAGTTAATATACATACCAAGTATTGTCTGTCAGAATCAGCCAAGGTTGACCAAATTTCTTCACTTAGACCCTGTTTACATGGAGTGGGGGACCCCGGTCTAGTGGGGTAAGTTTCTTTTGTTTTGTGTCCCCCAGAGCGTGAAAACAAAAGAAACTTACCCCACTAGACCGGGGACCCCACTCCATGTAAACAGGCCCTTACTTTCGCCCGTTTTTGATAACGCAATTATTACACGGTGGGAGAATTTGTCGGATTTTGGGAGGAAAATGCATGTTTAAACCTCGTTCGAGCAAGGATGGAACGTTTGATCTTGCTCTCCGTTGTAAACGAAAGGATTCACGCCTACGGCTATTTTTGGAATTTGCAACAAATAAAATAACTATTTTGTATCTATATTCCTTCTACTCATATTCTTGTTTGGGTCACCCAGGCCACTCGGTTTACAGTTCCACGAACTATTTAGGTGTCCCAAACTCTGCACAATGAACCTACAATTGAAATCCTCTTTCCCTTCACAATCTCTCTATTTTATATTTTAAAGCACTAATTTGTATTAATTACAATTATTTTGTGTGAGTTTAAATAAAAATTGACTTGACTTAACTTTTCAAGAATATAATTTACGTATAGCTCGCACCACATGAGAGCCTGTTCCCGGGCGAGTGCAGCAGAAAATCCTATGCTTCATGTTGAAGGATTGTTCTCAATAACAAACAGAAAGACTGACCAGTTTATGCGCATTTCAAACATCGAATATTCACAGATATGAAAACTTTGACCTGACGCGAATGTTCAACAAACAATGTTTTTGTGATTCAAATATATCTAACAGCCATGGTTGAATACATGTCAATCATTTTCTTCGTTCCATTATTTCTAATAGAATACAAAAGCTATTAAATGCCAGCATTTGTTCTGGTGTAGCTCATAAGCGAGAAATCGAGAGGCATACAACATGGAAGGTCTTAAAGATTTGCTTGCTCCTAAAACACTCCACTGGTTCAGTTATGTGGCAAATGTATTTTGGATTTTGCTCGGAATTATCCTATCAGCAATCTTTCTAGACATTGAAAACAGCGAACCGAGATTTGACTTTCGTTGTGGATCAAATGGCGACAACGAACTCGTTCGTGGAAAGTGTTACGAACAGTACGATAAACAATACAACAAATTCCCTGTGTATGGATTCGTGATTATTAACTTCATTGTTACTGCAAGTGTTTGTGGAATATACTCACAAGCGGTGAAGTCGAAAGTTGAGGAACTTGAACGCTACAAGCATCAAGATGTAGAACAACAGACTCAACAGAGAAACAATAACTTAACTGAAAGAAAGCTTTTCAAAGCGTACCGTTTGCAACTTCTTGCCAGAGTTGTTCCTGGGATTTCTTTTGTCCTTCTGCAGACCAAATTACTTTATCCTCTCAGCTTTCCCTCGAACTTTAAGTGTAACTTAACGAGAGACGAGATTTTTTCAGACATTACGGCCAGTGCGTCTCGCAACGAAACTCTAAGCTACTCTAACTCAAACGTCATACGAATGTCATAATCAACGAGCAGCTAAGAAGACCTTCTGGGCTGATGCCGTGATCGTTGTAACTGGATCGTTTGCATTTCTTGTGTTTATCGAGTGTCTTTACTTGTTATCACGTGCAAAAAAAGTAGAAAGGTTCACGGAGGACCCGAAATTTCATAAATATTATCTGATTTCGACTAAGCCAAATCCAGCTTCTACGGTAGAACAAGACCAAGAGTTATTACCAACTATTGTCAGTAACTTAGTAGCTCCTTCCATCGAACAAATGAAGAAACATATCCGAGAAGTCACCAAACGACCTTACAAAGATCTTAAATCACCATTTGATGATCCAGGCGAAGGAAGAGATCTGAAGCTTGACGAAATCTTCACGAACTTGATTGTTTACAAGGGGAGAGCTGACTACAACTTTTCTGGGGACAGAGGGGAACAACTTAAAGAGTACTACAAAGCCAATGAAAAATTGTCACCAACACTGCCAGGAGAAATTTTCGATCCTGAAGAGCAAAAGATTCTTGTTGTCGGTCGTCCTGGGATTGGAAAAACTATGTTTAGCACAAAGATTCTTCGCGACTGGGCGTCCGATAATTTGTTGAACGAAACACAAAAACCACAAATAGATTTTAAAGTCGCTTTTCTAGTTAAGTTGAGGATGTTCAACTTTACCGACAAAGAACTAAATCTTCGCGAGCTTCTGGATCACTCAGAGTATTCAACAACTCTATCTGAAGAGACCTGGAGCTACATCCGTGAAAACCCACAGCGAGTACTGATCATTTTTGATGGATTTGATGAATATTCTAGGAAGGCTGAAATCAATAAAGACGACGTCCAGTACAGAAACAATGAAGAAGACAGGATGCCTGTCCATTTCCTGCTAAAGAAAATGTTATCCGGAAAAATTCTTACCGGTGCGACAGTGTTAATGACTACAAGACCCAATGCCGTTTCATGTATCAGAAGTCCTAACTTCGACAAAACAGTTGAAATTCTGGGATTTACAACTGAGCAAGTGGAAGATTATGTAGAGAAGTTTTCAAAGCAGGGGGACAAAGCAGAAACCATAAAGCAACACATTACAAGTAACTCAAACCTTCAAGCCTTCTGCTACGTCCCTGTGAATTGTTTCATCATTTGTTCGTGCTTGTTAGAGTTGCTTAGTAACACTGGCTTTACTAGCCTCCCGACAAGACTGACAGAGATATACTCAATTGCAATAAAAATGTTTTACTTTAGTTACGATGATAATCAATATCGCCACGATAAAGCCGAAGGTCAACAGTTTTTTCTGAAGCCGTTTAAGGAATTTTCTTCGCCTGTACAAGAGGTGTTCAAACGTCTGGGAAAAATTGCCTTTAATGGAATTAAAGAGGGAAGACTAATTTTTGAATCACACGAAGTTAAAGACCTAGAGAGTAATGGCTTGTTCCACCGTTTACCTGACGCTAGAGAACGTCCTTTAGGAGAGAGAAGAGAACAATATTGTTTTTTACACCTGACGATACAGGAATTCTTGGCTGCGAAGTATTTGGTAGACACGTACAGTTCCGAAGACCTGCAGAAGTTTGTTTCCGATCACATCCAGTATGGGGCGTGGAGGGTTGTGATGCAGTTTGTTGCTGGATTGCTAGATGAAAAAGAAGGCAAATCAACAGATATTTTCAGCGACCTTCTTCCCTCAAAAACAAATACTAAAGAAGTGAGAATTAAGTTCAGTGACGACTCACAGAAACAAAGTGAAACTCTGACCTGCTGGCCAGCTGATGATGAAGAAAAGCCTCTGGTGGTGATGCTGTTCAATTGCATGTATGAAAACAAAGCCTCTGGTCGAAAAGTTCAAGAGAAACTGGCGAAAATTGGTTGTAATGCGCTTAATTTTAGTCAGTGTTCCCTGTCACCTCTCGACTGTTTAGCATTAGTGCATGCGCTTAAATCTGTTGAAGGAATTTTGGATTTTGATTTAAGGTTCAACAATCTTCAGTCGCTAGGATGTATTGAGATTGCGAAGTTGTTACCTGGCAACCAACACAATCAGGGTTTCTGCAAACTAAAGAGCTTAAACCTCAGTGGTAACAACATAACTGCTGAAGGTGTTAAACATTTATCTCAAGTACTCACACATACTAACTGCAAACTAAAGAGCTTAAACCTCAGTGGTAACAACATAACTGCTGAAGGTGTTAAACATTTATCTCAAGCACTCACACACACTAACTGCGAACTACACAGCTTAAGCCTCTGCAAAAACATCATAACTGCTAAAGGTGTTCAACACTTATATCAAGCACTCTCACACACTAACTGCAAACTAAACAGCTTAGACCTCAGGTTTAATGAAATAACCCAGAAATGTAAAAATCTCTTAAACTCATTAAACATAAACTGTAAAGTATTTTTCTAGTAAATCGTTGTCTGCAATGTAAATGTTTTCAACAACCTTCAGTCGCTAAGATGTATTGAGATTGCGAAGTTGTTACCTGGCAACGAACACAATCAGTTTGGTGAACTAAAAAGATTAAAACCTCGCTTTTAGATAGATAACTGATGGAGGCGCAAAATATTCAGACTTACTGCACTCACACATACTAACTGCAAACTAAACAACTTAAAGCTCAATAATAACCGGATAACTGATGAACGTAACACACTTCACCGCCATCGCTGCACTCACACATACTAACTGCAAAAGAAACAAAGTTTAGACCTTATAGAGCTAAGAAAATAAATAAACCAGGAAGGGAAAAATCTATCAAAAGCAAGGAAAATCAACTATAAAGTATTTATCTAAGCATGTGTAAATATAGTTTTCTGAAGAGTAACAATTTTAGCTGCATAATTCTTTGACATTATATTTTCGATTTTTTAAAACGGAGTTAATTTTTTTCGGCAGTCAGGTAGCTTCTAAGCAATCTCGAAGCTCTTAGGTTTCCATTTATATATTGTTTTGTTGTTGTTGCTGTTTTTGTTGTTGTTTATTTTCATAATAATAGTGTGGGTTTTTGTGAGAAGAGAAAATTTGTTTGGTCACTACTATAGCTTTACATAGCAAAAGGGTGCGATTAAAAAAAAATGTGTATTAATATAATAAAGACTGGAACAACTTGATAGTGGACATTTATATATATAAATTGAACTTAGATAACTAAACATATATACAACTACATATGAAGACATTTTGTAGGAATGTTTTTAGTATAATGTGATAATGCTTCCACTGATTCACAGTAAGCGTCACCTTAGAATTCTATTTGCAGTTATTGCTTTTTCTAAAAGTGACTTATACATCATGTTTAGCCTTCCAGTAAGTATTCATCTTTGTATATAAGTTTAGTTTTTAATATGATTAAAATTGTGTTAGACCAATATTATAGATGTCGGCCTGGCCTCCCTCCTTAGTAAATCAATCTGTGCATCCAGGTTGATAATCGGGCTGTCTAATATATAGATTTAGAAGGGTTTAAAGCCGAAGCTCTCGTTAATATCTTCAGTTTACTCAAACAAAATGTAAAATCGTGTAATCGTGTAAACGGCGACGGGAACGAAAACAGCCAAAAAATGAGTAGGTCTAATTAGCAAAAAAAAAAAGGAAATGTTTGCGCGTGCAGCACACTTTTTATAAACATTTCTTTGCCTTAGCGCGAAACTTCCAGAAACTTCCTCTGTCAATATATTAATATTTACATGGGCAAAATGGGATGAGTCGTCGAAACTACCATGAACTAAAATAGGAGACGTTCAGTTAAAGGTATCTTAACTTTGTTTCGTTATATTTTGACTTTTGGACTATTTTAGTTCATGGGAGTTTCGACGACTCATCCCATTTTGTCCATGTGAATATTAATATGTTGACACACATTACGTCTGGGCCGCCTGTGGTTACACGTTTTATGGAGGAAATCATTGTATGTGTTCCTGTTCACTTTTTTTTCGCTGCGGCATTTTACCTTGGTGGCTGCTAGCATTTCTCATTTTCTCACAGCCGCTATAAATTTTCAAGTTTTTCTTCCAACGAAATTGGTCTCCTTTGTTTTTATCTCTAGCTCTAGCTCTTTCTCTGTTATCCACGTCAATGTAGACATCAGACTCACATCTTAATCAGAATCTTCGAAATGCAAAATTTCACCTTGGCTTACATGAACGGGTGGATGTACGTACGTACGGACGTACGTCGTTGAATGCCAGTAGGTAAATCAAATTTTCTTACCCATCGTGCTCCGGTGCGAGCACGCGAGTGCTCGGCTCTCACTAAATCATAGCCAAAAAAGTTATGGTAAGAACACTTAAAAGAAAAAAATGTAAGTCATACCGTGAATTGCTGTTTATAAACCTTGGGCCTATACATCTTCGTAAAGAGGTTTCAGCAGGGCCTATACACGTAGAAAATATCCGAGAGGGCTAGATATAACCGGAATAGTGGTGCTGATCAAAATACGTTTTGTACTTACTGTTTTTTAATTAACCTTGAAAACGTCATAATAACTCGAGTTCATTTCAATACATTATTGGAGGGGGCTTATAATCGGATGTATGTTTTTTTTTTTACAGTGTTTACAGGTAGAAGGGCCTATAGTGGGGGCGGGGGTAGCAGTGACGGATCCAGACCTTCAGATAAGAGGTGGGGGGCGGTCATCCAGTCCCTGAGAAAAACAGGGGATAGTTTGAAAAAAAATTTTTTTCGGCCCCAGTTTGTTCCAAAAATAAGTGGGGGGGGGGGGGGGGGTCTCAGGCCCCTCCCCTGGATCCGCCACTGGGGGGATGTTATAACCGGCAGTTCACGGTGGTTAACTGATCGCCAACAATAGCTAACAATATTCGGGGAAGGGGAAGGCTAAGCTGAGGGTCAGCATAAGATCAGACTTCGAACCAATCAAGGTTCGTAAGAATACGTACATGCTGATATTGGGAAGCTTGCTAAAAAGTTGTTCTTGGGTTGAGGTAGCTAATGGGAAAGGGTAATTAGGAGCAAGAGGTCTACAATCTTCTTGTAAACTATGGCTTGTAATTCAGTATCCCTTCATGATTAAAGGAGCCATGTCAAGACAGTTGCCATCTAAGAGCTAGAATACAGGTCGCTTCTCATCAATTGAATTCCAAAAAATAATGGTCCAGTTTTTTTTTTTCATGTAAGACTATATTTAGGCATTGAAAAACTGATTGCTGTCGTCTGTTGCTACTGGTGACAAGGATGGACATAGATTGGAAACTTGTCAAGTTTTAATTCTATGCCCGCAAAAATCACCAAAAAAATCTATGATGGTTAGTGATGATTTTTTTTTTTTTTACATATATCTTCTTCATACTCTACAGGAGCATTTTGTGTATGGGAATAGGAAATAAGTAGGGAGCTTAAAGGACGAGGTGTGTCACGAAATTCAGCCAAATTTGGTTATTGCAAAATGCTCGTTAAATTAAAAGAAACACAAAAATAACCTCTCAAAACGTTAAAGGAAGGTTGAAATAACGCAACAGATACAACAGCTGCCACGGATGGGCAAAACTGAAAAAGATTGAACTCTTCAGCCTCTTCAGTTTTTCAAAGTTTAGCTCTGCGGTTTGCAGCTTCAAAAATAATGCTCAGGGGACATATTTGTTTGTCTCTAATCTCTGATTTTGTCATTTACATGTGATTTCTTTGCCTACATTTAGTTCCATAGCGATTGAGGGCAAGTAATTGGCAAATAAAACAAATTGAACTGGACTGCCGTGACACAGCCCGTTTAAGCAAAGGCGTGTCTAGGAGACGCACATAAATCGGAAGTGAGGACTTTTCCCTTTTAATATGCCTTGATGCTATAAAATTTGTATACTTAGTTTCTTTACACTTGTAGAGACGATTCAACTGAAAATTTTGGCAAAATCAATGCTCAAGAATCTAAAAAGTCCACTTCCGGTTGACATGCGTCGCTCAAAAACGCCTTTGCTTAAGTTCCCTGGTGACACAGCTTGTTTAACTAGCCCTGGATGGATTGAGACCATTTGTATTTGTAATCAGCGAAAAATTTGAAAGACGAAAAACGTCTAAGAAAATCATCTACAGCTTGATATAAAAAGGCAGTTTTATTATAAAATGAAGCGGTCATCACAAAGTTGGCATCAAACGTCTCTATTGCAGGCGATAGATAAATAATATTACAACTACGAAAGCTCTCAGCCCTCCCCCTGTGGGGTGGCAATACATCCGGGACAGCTGTGTAGAGAGTCATGAATGAAGATGTCACAGTCCATACAGAACAGATGTTCACACTGAGGACAGCGATAAACCTGAAAAAAAATTAAAGTTATTTTACTTACTGCCTGATTTTCAAAAGCGCATCAGCGAACTCAAAGCTGTAAAATATTCTTCATTTGTCTCTTGTCTACCGTAAATTGCCGCTTATAAGCCCTGGGCTTATACATTTTCGTAAGGGTTTTAGGAGGGAGGGGCTTGAAACCGGAATAAGCAAGCTTTAAGGTACAGAAAAACGGGCAACAAAAAACATGCAACTTAAATTTCCGTTATTTATCCTCAGCGGTGTTTATAGCACTAATGCTAGTGGGGCCAGAAAATCCTGAAACAAATAACTTTAATCAAACACGATAGGGTTAACAATCCCAACTGGCCGGAGGCAAACCATTTTTTTTATTTTTTTTTATTTACAACCGTGGCCGAGGATTTGAACTCGGGACTACCGAGAACAAATCCAGCTGGCAGTCAGAGCGAGACTTCAACTCGGGGCCTTCGAATTGTAAGTCCAGCGCTCTAACCGCTCTGCCACGCTGCCTCCTCACTTGTCTTGCAACATTGCTGCAAAACGAGTTGAATACCGATGTGCGCGTTTTACCAGCCACATCAAACCTGTCTTGCAACAAATCAGGTTGTTAACATGTTTGAACGTGGCTGGTAAAACGCGCACCATTGCTTTTGAACTCGTTTTGCTGCAATATTGCAAAACAAGTTGTCTTTTTCTGCTGCCCGTTATACCGGAGCTTTAGCAGTGCTGGACAAAATAGTTTTGCACTTACTGTTTTTTTCAGGCTTCAAAACGTTTTAATAAATCGAATTCTTTTCAATACAAGCTAAAGGGGGACTTGTTTCCAGTCGGACTTATAATCGGATGTAATATTTTTTGTTTACAGGTAGATGAGCCTATTACGTGGTGGGTTAGAATAACCAGAAAGCTATGGTATTGAGTCCTTTGTTGTTACCGCTAAATGTCAATAAAGTGTTACAAAAAATAATAAAAATCTATTTTAAATCAAGCCCTAACAGATCAGTGAAACTTCGGTCGAGTTCTTGACGGTTAAGAACAAGGAAACAGACAAAAAGTAACTTACAGCATTTTCCGTGAATTCTTTCTGACAGGCAAAACAGTGGTTCTGTCTACAAGAAGAGAAATTTAAATACGAGTGAGTGAACAATCGCCTCAACAATAATAATTTGTCTTTTCCTCCGGCTGGACTTTGCGATGTGTGGACCGAAACTCACATTACAGGCTTTTTCACTGTGGCAAGTGACGAAATAATGTTCGTTGCTAAGCTGTCATCTAGTTTTCGCAAAAGGTTGGGAGGTTTGGTTGCCAAGCTAGTTTGTGCACACGAAAACGTCTTCACGTCCGTATAGAACTTCGTTTTGGGTTGCTTTGGGTTGGCCCATAGGGAATTTACTGGAGTCGAACCGCACATGTAACCTAAGAACATAGTCTCGTATTGCTAACAACCTTGCACAAGCACAAGATCAAGATGAAGTATACTTGCAACTGGATGTAGCAAAATTGGAATGAAAACTACATTTAGCACATTGCAGTGTGTTTTGATAAAAATGTCTTTCAAAAAGAAACGAATAGATCACCGCCTATTAATTACGACAGAAATACTAAGTAATACAGCAGCACAACTTTTGCTCTACTACCTGATGTTTTGATTGTCCTCGATCGCTGGCAAATCTCTTTCTGTGAACTGCGGTAGAGGGAAAAGATGTTGGTAGGACCGAGCCAGATGAGGAGCTGATACAAGAGTTAAGCCTGCAAAATGAGAAAGGAGATTTTCACCAGTTTGCACCCAGCTGGACACGCAACCTTCTTCCTTAAAACAATAAAATAACAAATATATATATATATATATATTTTAAAAAAACAGTAGCAAAGCTTTCGTCAAAGCTTTGTTTGACCGTTACGTCTCCAGACTTACGGCCGTTTTTACAACGAAGGGTCGATTATATACGGAAAGTGTCTCTCTTCCTCATTTCAACTAGACCTAAACTCGTGGGACCGTTATTAAAACAGACTTAAGTAGTGTTAAAACAAAATGAAAAATATTATAGTGAAGACTAGGAAGAATTTATCTTCTAAAAATTACTCATTTGTGAGAAAAGTTGACGTTCTACGATTGCCGTCTAAGTAAGACTTAATTTCAAGGTTATATTTTTCAGGGAACAATCCCCAGGTGGGGTGCCCGTGGCGAAGTGTCCTGAGACCCGGTTGCACCTATACGTTTAGAATGTAGCAAAAGCTATTATTTAAACCACTACACCCGTATGTTACTTACCACATACTTTACATTCTACAGGTAAATCACAGTACTTGCTTTTACACTGCAATTCAAAGTGGAAAGACTACAAATTATAGTAGTTGCTGAAAAATATATATCTACGTGTTGCAACTGTTCATCACTAGGATGCCTAAAATGCGTGCAATTCCACAATTGGTTTCGTCTCCATTAAATCCAGTTAGGAGGAGCCACCCACCATGTGAGCACAGTCACGGCCAACACTTATAAGTGAGGAAATAATAAGTGCTACACGGTAAAGGTAATGAGGGATGTTGGTTTTTAAGGCGCCAATGACAGTAGAGCCACGGACTATACGTCAACATCATTTGGCAAAAAACTGCAGCCGTTTTTGAGTCAGCTGAATTGTTGGTTTCACTGTCATGTCATATAAATCGAAACCATGTCATAAATCAAGTCAAGAATCTAAATTCTAGCCAATTTGAGGTTGACGTTGTTGCTCAGAAATTTCAGCAACTTGACATACCTGTGGACAAAAATACCCTGATGTACTGAAACCTTTAACCCCTCCGTTGACATCCAAATGACTGAAAGAAAAGAACACAATAAATAGATAAATGGCGCATAAACGTCTTCAGTGTTATTATACTGTGTGGTTTATTTCTACAAATCCATAACCTTTTTCAACAACAAAAATAAAGTTGAACATAACACTTAAATGTTACAAACATTATTGCAGAAAACTCCAAGAAAATTCCCTTAACAATCATAACCTTGTTAGCAATGTTTTTTATCACCACAGTTAAATTCATAACTTACGCAGTTGCAAAAAAAAGCCTGAAAACATTCAGGCTTGCTGGGATTCGAACCCAGACCTCTGCGGAACTGGCGCAGCCCTCTAACCAATTAAGCTAACAAGCCAACTGGGAGCTGGTCATTAATTTGGTTTGTGTATACCGGGGAAGCGTGAAGAATACAAAGTAGTTATTAATTAATCATCCACACTTGAGTCTTGCTAAATGCAAGATTGCGAAGAAACTAGGATAATGCTACTTTTTAACTTCAGTAAACACAAAAACGACCTGCTGGTTCTGAAACAATGAAAGGGTGCATTAAATCAACATCATACATATTTTCGATGTTCCTCACTCATGATACGCGCTCAGTCATTAAATTTTAAGAGGGTCTCAGAGCTCAGGTACTGTCCTTTAGTCTTCTAACACTAAATCTAACAATCTGACTTTTAAAAGTTCTTTAAAAGATATTCTCACCACATGCATAAGGAAGGCGGTCCACTTGAAAGATGTTGAGGAAAACCTACAAAGATACAAAACGGTTATGTGAGAAAATGATATTCAAATCAAGGAAAGACAGTGCTGTTTTGTTATTAAAGAACTAAATCATGAGTACGAGTGTTCTACAGCGTTTACTTGTTGGCTGTTCACTGTGTGTCAAACTGCACTATGGGATTACAATCTGACACAAAGCTGACCCAGTCTCGTACGCAACAGTAAAAATGGCCAATAGTGCATGTTTACTCTAAAAGAGTTCTTACCCATTCGTATCAAAGCAGCTTCAGTGTCGACCTGTAACAAAAAGAATACACTTTTTGATGTTACTTTATGAATAGATCGTCTTATTGCAAAGTTTTTAGAATCTTTTAAATTAATATTGAGAACAAAGCTAGTGAGGGCAATATGCTATGACAATGACTTGTTAACTTATGGCAAAACACTAATTAGAATTTGCAGTACAAGATAGTCCAGAACTTTCATTATTGTTACCATTATCATTATCATCATCATCATCATCATCATCATTATCATTATTAATTCAAACCTCACACCTTGCCTCATATTTTAGCACTGGCACAAGCACATTTGCACATCTACTGTGATGGGTCATGCCTTTTGCATATTAAACAAATTTAGAATTCGAATAAGATCGTCTAGATTGAGCAATTTCCCTTATGGGTGGCCATCTTGGTTTCATAAGTACCTTACGGAAAAATAGGTGATTGTGAACAGTCTAAGTACAAGAACAAGGGAAAAATAATTAACTTGTGCATACCTTCGCCACAGGTGGAATTACATGCTGCATTAGAAGTTCCTTGTAATGTCTTTCATCTAAAATCACTCCATAGCTGCCTATTAATTTCAACATAACAGCAAGAAATGTAAATTTTAAAGAAGGTTTTTTATCCTTCACTTTAAAATTTCACATTGCATGATCTTTCTCACCCTGTGTCTCAGAACAAACTGTTCTACAAACTCGCACTTCTGCCGCCAGTCCAATCACAGAGCATCGTATGTTTTGCTGTTGTAAAGTCTAAATCATTTCAATAAAAGTTAGTACATACAGTCGAACCCCACTTTATGTACCAGACATCCGCTTAATACGGACACCTCAATATATTATTACAGACAGTTTTCTTTGTCATTGGGGAAAGCCCTTGCATTTTTTCTAATTTCAACCCGCTCAATTATACAGACACCTGTTAATACAGACAATGGGCACTTATTTCTTACCCAATCAACAGTTTCTCATAGAAGGTCATCCTTGTGACAAAACAAAAACAAAACTGATGTTGCTCACTCTTGGAAATTAAATCAGGGTCAAGTCTGAGGCTGATAAATCATATAATTAGACAAGGATGCAATGGGCCTGGGTAAGCAAAATTTAAGCACTGCTTTTCCAAAGGACTAGCTAAAATTTATCCTGCATGTAGTTGCCAGTAACTTAGATATATTACCTGTATTGTCTCATGGATGTCTCCAGGGTCACATGATGTCAGGCTACCAAACAAAATGAGGATTTCCCTGCTGGCATGACTAGGCATGTGCCTACATTTAATTGCAGAAAAATGAATTGTATCTGATTTACACCCCCAAAACACAAAAAGTTAAACAAATAAATGACAAAAATAATAACCTCTAGAAACACTTTGGCTACAATGAACTGAAATAAACTACAGTTGTATGTTACCTTAGTGACTGAATGGCAACTTCCATGGCATTTTGTAAAGATGGTTCCCCTGTGCAAGCCTTACTCGCAGCCTTGCGAAGACTGCTGGTATGCAGCTGTGGGTTACCTGTGCAGGTAGACAATGACGAAAAATAACTTATATTTAAATATGCGTTTACATCTCTTTTGTGTTTTAAGAAATTGTTCTGCCATGTAGACCTGCAATTGCTTAAGCATGCAACAAAAATATTTCATTCCCCACCATAACATGGACAAAGGTTTGCCCTATTTGTTCCACTTGATTTAAAAACTCACCACTTAATTCTGTTATTTTCTCAGCTCTCTTGTTCCTGGTCACAATAAGACCAATCTGGATGTGCCACAAAAATATAAATTGCAGAGAACAATGTATAGCAAGATTAAAACATGGGAATTGAAAAAAAAAAAAACAAATTAACACGGACGGGCTGATAAAATTCAAGCCAGTGTTTGAAAGTACTTTGCAATAATATTTACCTGTGAAATAGGATTCTGATCAAAATATTCAGTTATAAAATCCTCTAAAAGCTAAAAGAATAAGAAACACAGGAAAAAATAAACAATGCAGTTCTTTTTAATAGTACTACATCTTGCATATAGCCCTATAGTACCAGTGTACATAATGCAGAACATAACATCTAAATTATTGTATTTTTGGTCTTGCAGAAAGTGCATAAAATATACCTAAAAAATATACAAAAATGAGTCTGAGATCCAAGCTGAAGCTGGCTATGAAGCCACTTTTAATCTCCATTACATATAATGTCAGAGACTGAACAAATGACGGACTGTCTACTAGGATGCCTCCATCAAATGAATCTGAGGTTTTCTTCCCTAGACTCAGAATAGATGGGATTGAAATGACAAGTATGGTTGACAGTCGTCCATACTGTTCAGGGTTGTCAGAAGTAGCTGGCTGCCAGCAAAAATCGCTGACACCGCTAACCTACTTGGTAACTACTCTTGGCCAGCTACTCTGCTTGGCATTTCTTTATGGATGGCTTTTTTTAACTAAAATATCCCTGGACTGGCCGCTTACTTTGACAACTCAGCCGTCTACTTCAAAACTTTCTGACAACCATGACTGTTAGAGCGGGGTCTCAAGGGCCAAAATTAGAAAAAAAAGTATGAAACTAAACCGGAATTTCCAACAGGGAGGGTGTTCAAACCAGAAAACCATTCTATGGGGGTGTATGGATATTTTCTGGAACAAAACAGTTTATAGTTAGACTTCATTTCTTATACCTACATGTATTGTACAACATTTAACAGTAATAATCCTCACCTTCACAGAAGAGGCAAGACGGGAGGGTTTCAGATCTGCTTCTTCCATTGCTCGAGACATGTCCACAACAACAAAGAGATGGCGCATCTAAAATCACAAAAATTACAAAAAGAAAACAATACTGAATAAAACATTCATGAAGGCATTACAAGTATAAACCATGTATGCAACAAAATTTTATAATTTTGTTATGTATTTTTCCCTTACCATCCCAAGTCGAATGTTGCTGCTTCTCCCCATAAGTCTGAAACAAAATGCAAATATCAGTGTTAATTAAAAGGCATTCAGTGCCATTTAAGACCATGGGTGACCATGGATTTCTTTATATCTGGCTAGACTTGCTGCCAGGGTGCAATTAGTAGGCAGGGAATTGAAGCTAAGAAGTTCTATTCATTATAATTTTCTTTTGTCTCCTATGAAAGTAGCTGGGGATCAAGTTCATAGGAGCCAGAGGAAATCCACCGCATGGTCTTTAGCATACATGCCAACTCTCCTGTATCATCCGGCAGTCTCCCAGATACGGCACTGATCCCTTGCTCTCCTGTATGGGTTACCAAATCTCCTGGATAAAATGGACTTTTGAGTTTTTCTGTGCTTTAGTTTGAAATTTAGCCCATTTTTTTCTCAAAATTTGAACCTTTTTAATTCATTGTACTGTTTCTGGGACATTTTTGGTCATATTAAGTCACTGGTAAAGATTTAATATTTCCTCATTACAATGACGCAAGCGAATTTTGATGGTATGAATTTCACGTAAGACTTCATATAATGTCCTAAGCCATTCCCATGTCATAATTTAGTGGCTGGGTTAGTTTGTGGGTGGGGGGCGGGGGAGGGTGAAGTGTACTGCAAAAGAAAGAATCTCCAGATTTTAGATCTCTGGAGGTTGGCATCTCTGCCTTAGTGACAACCCAAATATCAGTTTCTTGTACTCAAGTTATGACTATCTAGCAGTTTCATTGGCAGAACCAGTCACGCACCTTCGCCTTTTAGTCCTGTGTGATATCTCATCAACCACAGTCTGAAGTGAGCCCTCTGCATCTTCTTGAATAACTTCCCTTTAAGGCAAGAAAGGAATATCAAAGCTGTGGCAAATAAACTAACTGACAGTCATGTCTGTGTAAAAATGCAGGGAGTCTAATATCAACATGGGCCTGCATAACTGAAGGTTTCATTTGGCAGTGGATGACTAACTTGCATCACTGATGTAACCAAGAACACCAGTTAGTAACGTCTACAAAGCAATGCTGGTGTTGCAGTTAATTTTTTATCTCAGGTAATTTTTCTTTTTCTTTTATCTTTGGGTATGGTAACGTGTGTTAATGAAGATGACACAAGGCAAAAATAAAAAATTACCTGAGATAAAAAATTAACTACAACACTAACATCCTTTTTCTGGGCCCTCAATACACTAAAAGACCAGAAAAGTGTTCCCAATTACCCTTCAACCTGATTGGCAATATTGATAATGGCATTTTTAACAAGCTACTCATGGCATGTACGCAAATCCTGCTGTACATGTGGTTACCAAGAACAGGGATTTTGGTGCTGTTTCACAGATGGACTTAACCAGAAGTTGAGTGCCATCTGTGTTCAGGCTGTGGATAGCTTAGCCCATATTATAACATTTAGCAATTATTGAATGAGGCTGAGTAGAAATGTGAAACGAGTAAAAACGTCCGCCGACTGTTCCGCCATTTTGTTCTAACTACCAAAACAACTCAACCTCATCCCCAGGTTTTCACGGTCAACGGTTCAATAACCTGCAACCAGGCTGCACTTTTGACGTCATTTTGAAGTCATCGGTTCAATATGACAAAATTCTTGCCAAATTTGGTCAACAGTAGCTGGCTGTGGGGAATTATGCATGTGGTTTCAACCAATCAGAAATGGGGAAATATTTTGAATGAATAATAAGGTGGCTTATTAAATATATGGCACATCTCAGAAATGGATGCAAAGGTGGTTGAGTGCCCCTGTTTTCTGTAGTTTACCATGGAGCAAACCAATAACAACTGTAGGCAAAACCACCATTCCACCTCTCATTTTTATACTTTAAGCCAACGATCAGCACCAAACCTTTTCCCTGACAGAACCCTTGAACCCGGGGGGTACTGCCATATATGGGCTGTATAGGTATGTGCCGCTGTGAAGGGTATGGTTTTCACGCAGTTTACTCTAGGATAGGGTATATAAATCAGAGCGTTTGGGTCTAGAATAGGGTATTATTTTTCAGGAAACTGATCAGTTGGTTGCACATTTTTATCTAGACTAGGGATTGTGGTATAACATTTTGTTTTGGCTAGACTGTGCTAGTGACCTCAGTAGTTTCTGGAGAACAGCTACTCTAGGATAGGGGCGATTTGGGGAGTTTACTCTAGTATAGGGTAGCAAAATTCAGCTGAACTAGCTCTGGTATATGTTAAGGGCTCCAGGGTCCAAGCGGCACCTCCACACCCAGAAATTCCTAAAGTACCCCCCTGGGCCTTGAACCCCATGCATGGCTGCTAAGGATTTTTCTACATCTCAACCATCTAGAGGCGAAATTAGTGAAATCGTTTTTTCCCCTTAATTCCGTAAAATTTCTTGATTTTTATTAGGCAAAGGTCTTTAACGATCGGTCAGCAAGAATATATGAAAACACTGGTCACAATAGATATAATATGAAAGATTTTAATCAGCTGATTGGTCGAGTTGTAGTTGCAAGACTTTTAAGTTGTGTCAAACAAATCGCCGTTTATTTGTAAAACGGGAGAGATATCAGCAGATACTTAAGACATCAATGATACGTACCATGTTCTTTCATACTGGTTTAACCAACGATAACCTCCTTCTTCTTCGTTCTGGTCGGTCGCCATTTTAGATTTTCACAGATTCGTGTGTGCACTCCTTCAGACAGCGGATTGTTCTTGCAGTACCAACGTGCGCGGTCTCTTGGAATAGTGTGGACTGTCGTGCGGACTGGGTACTAAAGGTCGTGTCAGATGCGCATTGAAACTTGAAGATAAAGCCGCAAAATTCCCGTCCGCGAAGACACATTTTAACGATATTTCTTGTTCTTACAGCTCATACAGCTTGAAGCCGGTGTCAGGAAAATAAACAAATTAAATTGGTTTAGAAAAATAATGCGGAGAAAACGCCGACCAAAACGTTTTGTGCAAAATTGTTGCGCATTTTCCTAAAAATTTAGGATAAAGGGCAATTTTCGGGTGTGCATGCGATTTTGTGCGATGTTATTTGTTGCAACGGTCAATAGTAAACTAAAAGATCAACGAAAATAGTGGCTGGAAATCATGTTGTCTCCAAACCTCTTAGGCCAGCCAACTGGGCGATGAAGCCTGACTGTTTTTGACAAGAACACACCAATAAACACACATCTAGCGGAATAATTTATTCACCAGCAAATACATTATTCCTGCATTTATTCCCTAATATCCCTCAAGTTCACCAACCAAATTTTTTAAATCCGTTCATTTACCTTTTTTATAATCTTTTTTAATTCTTATCATAAAAATCAGAAATTCAGACAGCTTAAGTTAATGATCTGCATGAAAGAACGCCCGGTACTTGATGGCAGTCGCGCAAGCAAGGCCAGACGTCGAACTTTTCATGAGACGAACCAGCCTAGTCCCTAGGAGTTCTCGGCTCGGTCAATCCTGGACTCTACCGTGAGCTGTGACGTCACCGAGAGAGACTTTTCTTAAAATTGCTTCTTGGTTTGATTCAATTGATTGGTTCGGCGCATCCTAAGCTCTACGAGTGACGCAACAGACGATCCTAACTTAATTTAGGAAGATCCCAAATTAGAGTTTGGTTCGCCTCATGAACAGTTCGACTAAGTGTGGCCTGCAAAGAGGCGCGAAGCTTGCCATTTAAACGTACCAGCTGACCGTGAGTCACGACGATTGATGGACGTTTTGTAATTGCTTCAAATGAACTAAACCAAACGTTTTTTCTCGTATTTTTCTTGTGGTTTGCCGTGGTTGACGGTTCAGTTCGCAGGCTTAAATGAACTTGCTTCGTTCCTGTGTCACGCCTCAAGAAATTAAATAAATCGACCCTCTGTCTCAGATTCTTGAGCATTGTTGGCAAGCATAAGTAAGGAGAGTTTATAATTTTATAGAGTGTTTAGAAAAGAGACTTGAAAGCCCGTAGGAAAGCTCTATTCTCCAGGGGTTGCATTTTGTTGGGGGTTTTAAGACAAGGTTCCCTCGTCCTCCCTGCTCCCACTTAACGAATAACAAGTTTCCTCTTAGGCTTAAAACAAAACTGAAGAGTTCCTTTCATTTTTAGGTTAAAAAAAAAACACTCAAGAGGCGGATTTGTGAGAAGAAGAAGTAAGAACCCGAACCCCCTTTAAACCTAGACTTCCTGTGATATTAATTTTAGAGCTGTTAGATTGCTATAATTGTCCTATGTTTGAATTCCGTTCGGAAGCCAAGGGTACTGTAAATAGGGGTATGTCAGGTGTCCTTTTCTGAATCTTCTGTAGTTTCTGAACTTTAGCATTGGGCTGATAGCATACTGAAAGTAGTAGTAGTAAAATCGCACGCGTTTCCTCGCCTCAGGATCTGAAAGCTCATCGTAATAGTCAAATAGCGTATCATAATGGTATGCCCCGACGTTCATGGCCACCTCAACTTGTGCCTGAAAGGAGTGAGAAAAAAAAAAATAATTAGAAGGATGATAAGAAAAAAATCGGTGGAAGAAGAAGAGGGCCTTGAATTCGACAGTCATCAAATCAACAACATGCAGCGAGTTGGGCAACACTCCCTCACCCAACACCCTCATGAGCATTTGTCGGCGAAAAGAAGCAATACAACAATTTATTATCTGCGAGTAAGTTATTTCTCTTTTTTTTAAATCAAAGACCAACTTTGTGAGCGCACGAGAGTGAATAGCAGTGGCCATGTGGTCGACAGATCAGTCTCGCAATTTTTGTCTGCATGTGACCTGACCACACTGGCTTGAAAACGAAATTTACATGTACAGGAACACCAGTTTCCAAGGTTTTATGTGAAAAAATGGTAGTGGTTTTTGTTTCTTGAAAAGACAAGAATTATAACATGTATGCTAAAACGAGCGCTCTGATGGGTCATGATCAGTAAGTAGTGGACGATGTACCTATTTTTGTAAGCTGACCAAAGTTCAGCTGAACGCCATAATTAAGCGCAAACGTATACAAAGCTTTTATTGAAAAATTACAAGCACTTCTGCACTATAACTCGATAAATTATAATAATAATCGTCATAAAATTTATGATTACATGTAAATAAATTTATGAAATGAAAATAAATAATTTGTTGACTCATTAAGACTTTAAAACACTTACTGAAGATATGTCACTATTTGGTAAATTCAAGATGGAAAAGTCTCCTGGTGGAACGCGAGTATCATTGAAAATCTTGGTGGGTAAAAGAGGCGTGAAAGCTCCATAGTCACTCACAGGGTAGTTAACGGTGGCATGTTTCACGCTTAGTAACCATAACAACCTTGTTACCATGTCGACGACTTCGATCCTTTCACTTAAAACAGAAGGAAAGTCTTTTACCTGGCGACAGAAGAGTTGGAAACATTTTTATCTGGTCAAGTTTGGCTGTTTTGCGTCGGTTCTGCTATTGTATATTTTACTGCAAATACAGTCACTTCGTAAGACAGCCCTACTGTCCTATATTTAGGTGCTTTTGCGACAGGAAGACGCTAAACCGCCTGGTCATAAAAGAGGAAGTAAGGGAAGACGAATGAGGTACTTTTATTCCCTTTAAATACACGTTTTACATGCGGGTTATACATTGTAAATCAACGATATGATGTATGGAGTGCCACTCCCTGAAATTATACCATTATATTTGTACTGGAAGAAAGGAAGAAAGAAGAATTATTTGAGCCAAGAGAGGATATTCCTGTTTGTCTAGCCAGCTCACTTCACGTTGCTAAAGTTGACCCCGATAATGGAAGCTGTCGACCCCTGACCAACCATTATTTCAGGCGCGCTTCCGTTTGATATAAAAAATTATACATATGGGCGCTTAATGAAAAATTGAAAACAATAGTACGTGTACACCACCGCATTCTCCGTACCTGTCCACTTCCACCATCGGGGCCAGTGCCGTCGATGGACAACTCATTTACAAAGGCCTGCAGCTCTTTATCGTCCCTCACGTCTTTGTCGCGACGATAGTACCTAAAGAAGAAAGCACACTTTTTAAAAAACGTTTCTTGTTATATAGGATCATCGTCACAGACACCTCTCAAGACAATCCAGGCTATCCGAGTGGACTGAAGACTCGAAGAATTTGCTCAAGGACTAGCCAGTAACTGGACTGAGTGTTGATGGCTTTAATATATATGGACTTAGTAATTACCAATTTGGTTTGAAAGCAATAGGAGCCATAAATAAATGGAGTGCATAATTATAAAAGCAAAAGCAAAGGTGAAATACAATTATTTGATTTTATTAACTGGGTCTGAAAGTACAGTACAAGGTCTGAAAAAGTGATTTTCGTGCTCTAGGGCTGGCCCTTTGTCAGAGAAAATTAATCAGAAGAGCTAGTATGGCGCTGTAAACTTCAACCTTTCAATCTTTTCACGGTTCGCCCCTGCAAAGTAATCCAGTCTTGGAATCTGGATTCCACGTTCTGGATTCAGGATTTCAGGTACTGGATTCGAGATTTCTTGTCAGTTTTCCGGATTCCTTGTGCAGAATTACGGATTCCAAGGCCCTGGATTCCGGATTTCACAAGTACACGGGGGCAACACGGTGGTAAACTGAGTTTGCTAACTCATTTGATGAAACCAAATTCTTGTAAAAACTATCCATAATTGAATTGCAATAGTGTTGGGACTCTAACTATGACTCGATTAATAAGTTTCGAAAATCAAAACTCCAATCAAGCAGTGAAGAGAAATGAACAGAATAAAAAAAGCTCATATGATTACGTGCTCACGTAGTCCTCTACCATCCTCCTTATAACCAGCAAGAGTAGATCGCTGTCGTCACGGTACGGAAAATATGGCAGAAGTTCTTTGTCGTCTAGACCGCGATTCTGTCGAAAACAACGACAAAAGAAACAATTATGAGACAGCTAGCCAATAGCAAATTGCAATTTGCAAATTTCAAATTGTTGACTCATCGCTATTTCGAACGCACCAATAACACAGACAGCAGTGAGCTGACTGATTGCTTGACCAAAACAGACTCTCTTTAAAAGGACTAGAATCCCTTTTGAGTACGCTGGGACGTACGAAATAGGGGAAACTATTTCAGCTCCCGAAAGCACAACTTTATAATTTTTTTAACTCTCGCTGCAACGGAAACCGATCGGGAGTGAGTAGTATATTAGTGACCGATTTGCCCCTATTTTGCAGGAAAGTCTCGTTAATTTGAGGAGAAATACTTGAGAGCTGATAACGTGATAACCTTTTGTCTAACAAGCCCTTGACTTAAAAACACAAAGCCGTGACGTCGTTATGCAAGTTCTATTTTCTCGCTTCTTCCCTTGTCCTTTGCAGACAACAAATTGTTCCAGTTCCGGTCCACTGATTGTTGCAATCAGGGCTTCACGGCAACGGCGTGCAAATCGTGTGAAGGCAAACTAGCTCTTTCTAGCATTTTTCTACTTACATCTCTCCGTTTCCTTCTCTTCCAGAATTCAGCCATTTCGTTCTTTCTTAACTTTTTATTTTCCCTCAACCACCATTACCGCAAGCCGACACCTTCGTCACGCACTCAAAAAGGGTCTTACTGGTCCTTACTATACTACTTGAGTGGCATTTTTTAAAACCGGGAACAAACAACAAATATTTTTTTTCCATTTTTATTATTTAACATCATACCGTAATATTCCCAAAATAAGGCCCGGGGCTTATATTTTTCAAAGGCCCTTTTTGAGGGGCTTATTTTTGGAGGGGCTTATATTCGGAGTCGCTTATCTACGGAGGAATTTTGCGTTTCAAAATCGATTGGGCTAGCCTTGTAGTTGGAAGGAAATTTACCGTATTTGCTTTGTTTTATATTGTATTTGAGGGCAATTTCCAAGTACAAAAAGCCCCCCCCGGGGACTTATATTTGGAGGGGCAATTTAACGGAGGGATTTTTGCGTTATGAGTTTCGGGGGCTTATATTTGGAGGGGCTTATACATGGAGGGGCTTATTTTCGGAATTTTACGATATTTGTCTTTTCGGTTGAATTCAGTCACGGCATCGGGGATGACGTTCTCAAGGAAAACTTTCAGAACACCGCGTGTCTCCTCGTAGATCAGTCATAATTCTTCAGTTTCACATCTCGAAATTCTGGTAAATGGAGATACTTTTCCTCTCAAATGAAATTTTCTTACAAGAAATACCTCTCGCTCGCCGCTATAACGAACACACCATATTAAGATCAACCTGCGGTCAGAAGGGGTCCGCATTCAGTATCAGACGAAGTTGAGTGTGTTTTACCTGGATATCAAGATAGAAATCGGTATCATTCCAACTCAAAGTTTTGTAACCACGTTGTAACAGTAGCACAGTTCCTGCTGCCCCCATGGCTGTTAGCTGATCCATGTGGCCGCCCTTCATGATTAATGATGGGGATCCAATTGTGTTTGTAGCGATGACACCTCTACAGTGATATTTTAGAAGCTCGTGAAGTGGATGCTGGGAAGAGAAGCGACGATAAAGAACCACGCAGAAGGGCTCCGCAAATAGATGGATCTGAAGGTTAATTAAAAGCGACGGTTATGGAAGTGTTCTAAGGGAAAAAATTGTAAGAAGATTAAGAACTGAGAAGAAGAATAAAAAACTGAAGAAGAAGAAGAAGAAGAAGAAGAAGAAGAAGAAGAAGAAGAAGAAGAAGAAGAAGAAGAAGAAGAAGAAGAAGAAGAAGAAGAAGAAAGATTCCAAAGTGGTACCAGCAATTGCTTGTAAAGTGGCCTGTGAATGTAGACGGCTCTTCCCGCTCGTCGCCGCTTTTAAGACGTCTGGCGAAACGTCCCAAACTGCGATGAACTAGGAGAAATGGCTCTATTCGCCGGCTATTTGTAAATCGGCGAAGACGAATCGAACGAAGCTGCTAGAAATCAGATTGTCTACCTTTAAATCCTCTATTTGCACGGAAACTGTAATTTTATAGAGGAAGGCCCCCATCAAGCATTGCACAAAGCAGCAGTCCCTATAAGGGAGAAACCGATAGCGTAAGATAAGTTCTTTTTTTTACATAAATAATTGCTTGCCTTGAGGAGATGTTCTACCATTTGGCTGTGTACGTAATCTGTTGCTTGGACAACCATCTTGGCCAGCATCCATGAGTCTCCATCCATCGGCGAGTATACAGGAGAATCTATTTACAGTGATGGAAACTGAAATGTTTAATTGCACAACTTTCGAGACAAAAAAATTTCTAAACTGTGTAAGATCTAGGGTAGGTACTCCCCTACCTATAATGCTGGGCCAAACCGAGGCCCATACGGCCGAGAAAAAGTTATTTCCGAGTTTGCCTCCTCGCTCCCTCCCTCATCTTAGAACTCTCACGGTCTGTCTGGATAAGCTGTCCTCTCTTAACATTAGGTTCTAGATCCGCTTTTGCCGCCTACGGGCGTTCAGAAAATGTGGCGTGAGGTTAGAGGGATCACCCTTTGCGGTCTTTCATCCTTATATCTCTTTGTGCTGTCCTCCACTATCTGAACGCCTGAAACAGGCTGCCTAAAGTGTGGCGACCAGCAAAGGAGCTTGACAAAAACCTTGTTTGCGTTTTTAAACTTTAGGGACAGAAGGGTCTTGCAGAAATCATGTTACCACCTGCAGTCATTTGATTACCAAGTTCCTGTGACCTCGAATACATTTTTACCAGTTGTTGAGTAAATTCGTCCAAATTCAGTCCAAAACACTTAAACTGACTATACCTGGTTTATAATCGATTTGAATGGCTGCAGGGCGAAGACGTCTGTCCAATCCGTCGGATTTTACGGCGAAAAGCGCCACGGGCGATTTTGAAGGCCACAATGTGCGATTGGCTTTCTGATCAACCGATTCTGGAAAAGATACCATGTTGTCGAAAACCTCGTATCTAAGTACGTAAACATTGCCATTTTTTATTTCCTAAGGATAAATCAGAATAATAACAATAAGTATTAGTTTATGCTTTTCAAGATAGTCTCAATAGGATGATATATACGTTGTAATCTCAGCCGACTGGACACGAAAAATAACAAAACTGTCATTTTGTGAACGAAAAATATTCCAGCTAAAAATGGACTGATTGATGACAGTATTGCTCATCTTTAATGTTTCCACCTGTGTGTTGTTCAAAGTTGAAAAATTCCTACTCTGAGTAGACAGATACTGTGAAACCCCTCTGCTGCCGGGTTGCATTGGTTCCCCTGGGGATCCCTGTTCCCTAACCGCCAGAGCCTCCGGCCCCACGCAAGTGTTGTCTACTTCCTTAAGTTTCCTTCCACTTAAAATCAAATAGAAAACAGTAGATTATACTTAACCTCAGCAAGTGGTTCATTGCTATCTGTAGCATTCTGGATAGCAGCTTCCCAGTTGTAGTTTGGGTTGAGAGTTTGGCTTAACTCGGACCATTTTAGCCCCACGTCCTCTAAACAGGTGGAATGAGGAAAATGTCATGATTACACAACAAGATAAAAAACTCACAAAAAATTCTTGAGCTAGGCCTTAGTGCATGAGCAAAAGTTAGAATTACATGTGTGTACCGACAATAAACTTTTATAGGTTCATTTATAATGTCAATCATGAGCAACGGTAACAACAACGATATTTGTGCACAACGTTGCGTGACGCCACAAGGAACGATTGCGTAGAAGCCTAGGTGATTACTGTTAACTGACAACGATAACAACAACGATATTTGTGCACAACGTTGCGTGACGCCACAAGGAACGATTGCGTAGAAGCCTAGGTGATTACTGTTAACTGACCTGAGTCTTCTGTCACCCTGCGAAGCACCATGGGATTACATCCACTTAGTCTCTGTTCAGCAAAGATGTCGTCATCTGGCCAGTCATTGAGTAAATCTCTAAAGGGTTCTACATTTGACGCGAAGCGATAGAAGCCAGAACTACCCTGGATATAGATTGGACGTGTAGAATTGAGATAGAATCAAATTTTAAAAATTACAATAATTTCCATAGATACAGCGAAATGAAACAAGCGAGCAAACAAATTCATTAAAAATAATAATGACGATAATAACGATGATGATGATGAAAATAACAACAATAATTTAGACCCTAAAACGGAACCGATAAATAATCAGTATTAACTACTCTAAACAGTTTGGCAATACTGTACATGGACAATTGTTAGACATGATCAATCTACAGTATCTAGCTCGGTTAGGTCTATGTTCATTTGGCTACCAAACTTGCACCTGAGTTTCTGCCAGAAATGGTTGAGCTGAACCGAAGGTGCAGAAGAAAGGGAAACTCTATTTGAAGTGCGCAATTATGGTAAGCATCTTCACGTGATTGCAGTACTTTACCCTATTGGTACCTTAAGTGTTTTTTTCACTTGGAGTAAAGCTGCACACTGTACTTCAACAAAGGCGGTGTTTAATCCTTTTAAGCACCAATATCAACGTAAAAATTCTTCAGACTGATCGCCATTCAAATTCTTAGAAAATTAGTTAAGAGAATTTGATACACGATTGTAAGTGATCATTTTATTACTTCTCGATATTTTTTCCTTGATTGTGTATTGATGTTGTTAAGAGAAAATGTATGTTGATTACTCCTGGGGGACTCGAGGGATTACGTTAAAATATGCAAACAACGTTAACCCCACTTACATTACTGCCTATATTCCTCCTGAATTCGTTAAATATATCCTCGTACTCCTCGAACCCAGTTATTTCTGCAGGATGTTTTGCTCTCCACTTGGCCGCAAAACCTTTGTTTTTAAGAAGCATGGACCCATAACCGAGAAAATAATTCTTCGCAAATTCATCTTGAAGGAAGTAAGCCTTGAGCTGGTCAATGGTCATATTCACCAGAGGCATGGGTAGCGGGGGGCGTGGTACAAGCTGAAATATGCGTCTCTGTTCGACAAGACCGTTTTCCCTTAGAACTTTACAGTCTGCTGAGGATTTCTGTGGTAGATTTACAGGGCATTTGGGTGAACCTGCTAAAACGAATGAAGCTGTTTAGCTGCGAACGCAGACACATTGCAGGTTGTTGCTCTTTTCTGGAGCTTAGACGATGTTTTACTAACATTGGGAAATTAAGACAGATTTGCCGCACCATTCAGGCATTCTCCGAGAGGAGGTTGTAAGTTACTAGACAAAAATGGATCCTCGATATAACGAACACTCCTCTATTGCAGAGAATGCGGTGTAATTAATGATATTTTCCACCCAAATGGTAGTAACTATCAAAGCCCGAATAACATTAGTTACATTTCACAAAATTATATTACTTTACATTGCATTTCGTTCTATTACAGCATTACATTACATCACTTTACATTACATCCCGTATTCACTCATGCAGGTCATGTAGAGTCAGTAAAACTTTGACGATGAACCTAAAATTAACAATTGTTTGAGGTAACTTTTTGTAGAACTGGGAAAAGGAGGTGCAAGCACCTTTAACAAGCCAAGTTACTCCGACCCAGACTTACTAGAATCGAATTATTGGAATCTAAAATTGAAATATCGTAAAAGTCACTTATGAGTCAAGATCACTTCTGTATCCATACCCTTGTTTCCTGCTTTCTTTGAACTTCTCTTCTCTTTGCTCTTTTCATTGACACTGTTGTTAATTGAAAAATTCAACAAGAGTGATCCTCTATTAACAAGGGTATTTGTCGCCCCATGTAAGGTAATCCGGATTGCGGAATCAGTGAAATTGTTTTCTAATGGAATCCAGAATCCTGGGCTTTGGAATCTGAAATTAGGCTGAAGAATACTGAATCCCGCTATCGATTGGAATGAATCCGGAATCCAAATTCTACTAACAAAAAATCCAGTTCAGGAGCCGATACGCTCCTGTCCAGATCCAGTACCTGGGATCAGGAATCCACAGCTTGGAATCCAGAGTCCAAGTTCTACTGACAAAGACTGGAATCCAGTACCTGAAATCCGAAATCCACAGTGTGGAATCGAGAATCCAAGACTGTCCGGGGGAACCTTACACGAGGCGATATCAGTAAGTCTGTTAATGTGCGTTCTTGTTCTCGGTGGCTTCAGAAGTTTTTTTGATTCAATAGACAACTGAGACAATAGTTATGGGGATCGACAGATGGAAAGGGAGGGTGGGGAGACTTAAAAAACAATGGATTTACGCCATCAAAAAGGAACTGTATTTCAAAGATTCTTCTCAATTGACCTCTTTCCTGTGTCATTTATATCGCCCTAGGGGATTTTACATGTCAAAATAATTCATAAGGTTGCCTACCTTTTCCCGAATATCATGTCTCCAGTCAGAAGCAACAAGGTTAATAAAGAAACCCACATGGTTAAGATTCAACTTGGGACAGTGATGGTCGTTCTAATTGGCTATACAAGAGAAAAGAAAAGAATGTAAGTGATAAAAATAGCATTTGAATCTAGTTTTGTTAACACAATTTCGTCATCACGATGAACATGACGAGGTATGAAATGACCAAAATCAACTTCATTGAGACCATTCCTTGAAGTTCATTAGATTTATATTTCGACATTTGACATCTTATTATTTCTCCATCAGAATTTATTTACTACGGCGAGGTCCAAAGTGAAGAAAATTAACTTCACTGTGACCCATGCATCCATGAAATTAAATTCACGACATTTATATTTCGAGACTTGACATCCTATTTCGCCATCAGAATTGCTACCGCGAGGTCTAAAAATGACCAAAGTTGACTTCACTATGAACCATCTTTCACGCTTTGCTTACGAACCTCTCCTTCTGTCTTCACACGACCTTTTCTAGCGGTAATGTTGTGTTTCACGGTTTGAAGCAAAAATCGAGAACGGAAAATACCACTGACGGAGGACAAATGGTGAGCATTATTCCAACGAGAACGAAGGGAGGCGGTTCTACAATTATGCTTTGCTGAGGAGGCTGAACTTTTCTTTTCGCAGGAAAAACCATGTGTTTTCTAGGATAGTAATTACAATGATTTTCATGATGATAATGATGATGATGATGAGAATAAGAATGATATATCAGGGACAAGGGCTAAATAATTTTGCAGAGCAACTGGTCTAATTGATGTACTGATGTGAGTAATAGAGCTCAAACTGAACAAATACCAAATATCACAACACTGTACAAAACAGAATTGCTCATAGCACGAATTATTTACAGTTTTCAGTTCACAATTCACATTCAATTTACAATATTTAAATTTCTATCGGCAATATTTTGATTCCACTTGTCGTCCCTTTTCAGTCCTTTCTAAAAGGTGGCAGAAAGCTTTCATTAGCTCCCAGTTCATACAGCACGATATTCACTGATATTCCGTCAGTAGAGAGAACCGAAGGAACTTACCTACCTGCGAAAGCTCGTGTGGAAATTGAATTTTTGGACACGGTTACTTTAAAGATAGGTGGGCTCTTCGCGCTTTCTTCAGTCTGAAGAAGGACTTACAGAGAATCTGTGCTAGGAAAAACAGCTAACATAGCATGTTTCGCTTAGTCTATATTTGCATCTCTGGAGTTACCAGGAAACCGAACCCCTTCAGCAAATTCGCATTCAGACTTCCAACCGTGTCTAACAGAAAAATTATGACAAATACTGGTCAAATAATTAAGCTGCCAATTTGTTGACCTATCATGAGACAATCTTTTCTTGTTTAAAGTTTGACTGATATGAAAATGCTTCAAACAAGAGCAAAGAAATATCTTATTTGTTTCATTTGTTTTATTATCATTTTTCCCATACAAACAAACTATAAAAATCTAAAAAAAGATGAGGTAAGGGAGCCCAAGGAAGCCAATAAGGCTACAGGACGCTTAAAACTGTAAGTGGAGTCATAAAAGTGACGTCATCCTAGTGACCTCTTTTATACCTACACCTCCCTAATACGGACACTTCGCTCTGTCCCTTCGGCGTCCGTATTACACAGGTTCGACTGTACCAAGACAGACGCCTATTAAAGACGTTTGAAGAAAAAAGGGTCATTGCAGACAATTAACAATATAATGAAAACAGTGAAAACAAACTCACGGCTAAAAGATCTTTGACCCGGATAAAAACTGCAGTATCAGAAGACCTTGTGAGGAAAATGAAAACCTCTGGTATTCCAAAATACCACCGGGTCACAACCGCTCCAAGCAAGGCTTAGGTGACTATCACTCTGGTGATAAAAACGACCAAGAAATTCACATTCGACCATCGCAGGCAAAGTTAGAGTCTTCTTTGACCTCACAAAGTTGTCCATCTACTGTCATAAGGTCAAGCTTCCAGTCATATCTACAAAGCCATTGATTATAATGCGACGATTTACGCCTTAGGAAAACGTTCTTTGCAATCCTTTCGATCTCAGCCAGAGTAAGCTGGCTTACTTGTGATTTCAGGCAATTTTTCTATTTTGATAACCTTTGGAAACATTCAAGACATTCGTGCCAATAAAACTTAATTGTACTCATACTCTTGTGGTCACCTGACTTACGGGAAATCCTAACCATCACTCAAAATTTCGCGAGTTTGAAAATTATAAAATCAATTAAACATAACTTCGGGCCCCGAAACCGGCTCAATATTTGACGACCACTAGTTCATCAGTGTTTACTGTCTTACCCTCATTAAATAAAGCTGCTACCTACCTACGACAAATTGGTGTTTATTAAAAAAAAAACGGAAGGGTCTACTTACCTGTAACAGCTCTTGTGGAAATAAACTTCTAGGAAACGGTTATATATCGTTAAGAAAAATGAACTCTTTACCTGTTTAAGTGTTTTCTCGTTTGCAGAAGTACTGACAGAGTTTTATGCTGGGAAAGACACGAATTGCTGGCATGATCAGTTCCTTTTTAATGTTGCTAGGAAACCAAACCCTTTCAGAAAAGTCGCATTCAGACTTCCAACAGAGTTCATTTTATAAACGTGACCAACTAGATGGTATATACTTATCTTGAGCCAGTATTTAAGGTTTTAATTTTGATTCTTATGAAAATACTTCAGACAGGAGCGAAGAAACACAAAGATTGGTACTGTACTGATTGATACCAACAGAGAGGATAATCGAGATTTAGTTTTTCCGATGAGATACCGTTTCAGTTATCCTAATCGATTTTAAGTAGCGAGATAAAAAATTTTGTACGGGTACATTGCGCTTTTTTAAGGATGCCGTGAATAAGTGCCAGAAAATGCTAGCCTGCGAAAGCAGACGTATTTCCGGTCGTCGCTCTTCTCTCCAACCGAAAAGTAACTTTTGGGTGAAGAGAAATGACAACCGGAAATACGTCTGAGGTAGCAGGCTAACAAGTCGTTCTCAGTCTTCGACAGCTGCGAAAAAATGGACCGCAAAGCCAAGCAAACCTGTTGTTCAAACTCAAGGCCTCCGTCTTTACTGATTTGCTATATTTTGACTTAAGGCTTTAGTCACGTCGTAAACGCTAAAGGAGTTTCGTGCTATAGCAGATATTTTAAGGAATACTAAAATTCTAAAAAGCGCCTCGGTTCCGATTAGTTTTTCTCCCGGGGGGGGTACTTTAGGAATTTCTGGGTGGGGATGTGCCGCTGGGAGCCTGGAACCCTTGACCTTTACCAGACCTGGTTCAGCTGAATTTTGCTACCCTATACTAGAGTAAACTCCCCAAATCCCCCTATCCTAGAGTAGCTTTGTACCTGGTCTAGATAAAATCTTTAACCAACTGATCAGTTTCCTGAAAAATGATACCCTATTCTAGAGCCAAACGCTCTGATTTATATACCCTATCCTAGAGTAAACTGCTTGAAAACCATACCCTTCACAGCGGTACATACCTATATAGCCCATATATGGCAGTACCCCCCCCCGGGGTTTTTCTTTTTTCGGTTTGCGCATGTTTTTAAATTGATCGTATAGATACTTGCTCGTTATAAATTTTTAAAATATTCGTCATATTATAATGTTTCGTATGTTCATGTTTCAACTTTGCAGCAAACGACGCAAAAACAAAAGATAGCCTGCGCTTGCGCATTGCAAGACATGG